TTTATTAGGTTTTCCTCATTTTTATGCATTGAAAGCATTCTCTCGTGGTTGTGTAGTTCAATTTTTGTTGCCAGTTTGGGACCAATATGGATAGACAATATTCCTACATACTTTTTGGTTTCTACTAAAGTATTTTCTTAGAATAAATTTCTCGCCGGGTGCAGTGGCTCATACCTGTAATCCCAGAACTTGGGAGGCCAAGGTGGGTGGATTACGAGGTCAGGAGTTCGAGACCAGCCTGACCAACATGGTGAAACCCTGTCTCTACTAAAAATACAAAAATTAGCTGGGCGTGGTGACACCTGCCTGTAATCCCATCTATTCAGGAGGCTGAGGCAGGAGAATCAGTTAAATCCAGGAGGTGCAGATTGCAGTGAGCTGAGATCATGCCCCTGTACTCCAGCCTGGGCAACGGAGTGACACCCTGTCTCAAATAAAATAAAAAGAATATATTTCTGTAGTACATTTACTAGGTCAAAAGATACGAATTTCTTTATGGTTCTTCCAATATATTATCACATTCTTCCAATATATTATCGCTTTCTTTCTTTCTTTCCTTCTTTTTTTGAGTCAAAGGGGTTGCTATTTACTCCGCAAGTATTTATCCATCACCTACTATGTATCAGGACTTATACTAAGCACTAGGGATGCACTGTAAACAGACATGTTCCCTGTCCTCAAAGAAGCATACCAATTTATGTCACTAGAAATGTATACTTTACGCTGTGTTCAGTGGCTTATGCCTGTACTCTCAGCACTTTGGAAGGCCAAAGCAGGTAGATCCTTTGAGCCCAGGAGTTCTAGACCAGGCTGAGCAATGTGGCAAAAACCCTGTCTCTACAAAAAATAATTTTAAAAAAATTAGCTGGGCATGGTGGTGTGTGCCTATAATCCCAACTATTTGGGAAGCTGAGGTGGGAGGACTGCTTGAGGCCAGGCTGTTGAGGCTGCAGTGGCCTGAGATCACAACACTGCACTCCAGCCTGAGTGACAGAGTGAGATTCTATCTCAAAAAGAAAAAAAAAAAGAAAAAAGAAAAGAAAGGTATACTTTTAAATTTTGGTGCAAATCACCAGCACCAAAATTATAATTTTTAAAAACTTGTACCTGTTTTTTTTTAAGTTGCACTTAATGGTTAGGTGTTTGCATTCCATTTTTATATACATTATTTTTGTAGGTATGTGAATTCTGTTTTTTTTTTTTTTTTTTTTTTTTTGAGATGGAGTCTCCCTCTGTTGCCCAGGTTGGAGTGCAGTGACATAACCTTGGCTCACTACAAGCTCCGCCTCCTGGGATCAAGTGAGTCTCCTGCCTCAGTTTCCCCAAGTAGCTGGGATTACAGGTGTGTGCCACCATGCCGGGATAATTTTTGTATTTTTAGTAGAGACAGGGTTTCGCCAGGTTGGCCAGGCTGATCTCCAACGCCTGACCTCAGGTGATTAATCTGCCTTGGCCTCCCAATCTACTGGGATTATAGGCGTGAGCCACTGCATCCAGCCCTGAATTCTTTTTTGTGTCAAATACCTTTGCCAATTTTTATAGTCCATTTATTTTTTTGGTTCTACTTATGAGCCTATTTTCCTTTTAAAATGGAAAAAGGTTTTTATATTTTCTGTAATGTTTAATGTATATTTCCAGTTACCTTATTTTATTTTTATTATTTTGCATTATACATGTTTACAATTTTTTATGTATTTGAGTTCATCTTTTCTTTGATATATCTTGCTTTTTTTCTAAATTGAATTATCATTTTCCCACAGATCTGTTATTTATTTATTTATTTATTTATTTGAGACAGAGTTTCGCTCTCATCCCCCAGGCTGGAGTGCAATGGTGCAATCTTGGCTCAATACAGCCTCTGCCTCCCGGGTTCACGCGAGTCTCCTGTCTCAGCCTCGCAAGTAGCTGGGATTACAGGGGCGCGCCACCACACCCGGCTAATTTTTGTATTTTTAGTAGTGACAGCTTTCTCCAGGTTGGCCAGGCTGTTTTCGAAATCCTGACTGCAAGTGACCCATCTGCCGTGGCCTCCCAAAGTGACAGGATTACAGGCGTGAGCCGCCGCACCTGGCCCTGATAAATATTATACCATATTACATTTTCTGATAGTTTTCCTATACCTCAATTTTAATGGAATTTTAGAATGATTTTTAGAGTAAGTTTCAGAATGACTACTTTATCATTTGTTTGTCTATATAACTGGAGCTACTTATGGTGTCTACCTCAAGGAATACTTCTCCAATGTCTCTCTAGTTTTTGCGTGTTTAAAAAACATTATTGCTTTACATTATCGATTTATCTAGTCTTTCTCATTTACCTGGTTATTTCTCAGTATGTATTTGTAATGGTGTTTCAGATTTCAAAATCTTATGGGGGCCCAGCGGCAGAGTGGCTCACTCCTGCAATCCCAGCACTTTGGGAGGCTGAAGCGGGCAAATCACGAGGTCAAGCGATCGAGACCATCCTGGTCAACATGGCGAAATCCCGTCTCTACTGAAAATACAAAAATTAGCCGGGCATGGTGGCGCGCGCCTGTTATCCCAGCACTTTGGAACACCAAGGTGGTGGTGGGGGGTGTGAATCACCTGAGGTCAAGAGTTCGAGACCAGCCTGACCAACAGGTGAAACCCCGTCTCTACTAAAAATACAAAAATTAGCCAGGCGGGTGGCGCGCGCGTGTAATCCCAGCTCCCCGGGAGGCTGAGGCAGGAGAATCGGCTGAATCCGGGAGGCGGAGGTTGCGGTGAGCCGAGATCGCGCCATTGCACTCCAGCCTGGGCGACAGAGCGAGACTGTGTCTCAACAAAACAACAGCAAACGCTTTTGGGAACGTTTGCTGAAACAGAGTAAAATTGTTCGGCAATCACTTTGCAGTCCTAGTTCTGCCACCGCTCGCCGTCTGACCTTTCACATGTTTAGTCCTCAGTTCCTCACCCGCAAACCAGGGATACCATTAATACCGATCTCAAAAGATGGACTGCGCGTTTACAACGCACGTGAGGCCTCCAGCCTGTCCCCTGCTTGAACGCCTTGCGTAGAAAACACTAGAAAAGGCAATCACGATGATTAACTTGGGGGCCAACGTCCATCTACGACGTGAAGTCTTCGATGCCATGGCTTCTTTCCGATTAAAGGCCGACAGGAGCGTGGCTGCCCCGCGTCTCGGGGCACACCCGCTGCAGCCAGGCGCCCGCTGCGCCCGCGCCGGCGCCCGCCGACCCCGCCTCTGCTCGGAGGGAACGGGGCCCCAGCCCGCGCTTCAGCGGAACCCGGGGAGGGGCGGGAGCGGCGCCCGGGAGGTGAGGGCGGGGTGAGCGCAGCGTTCCGCGTCGGCTACCGGAGCCCAACCACCAGCGCTTCCGGGGGGCGGGAGGAAGCGAAGGCGCGGCGCCCGACGCGACGCCCAGCAGCCAATCAGAAGGCAGGGCGCCCATTCAAATCGCGGCCTTTCGGGGAGCCGGCGCTGGAGGGGTGAGTGGCGTGGAGACGGCCTCGAGGGGCGCCCCAAGTTGCCGGGCCCTGCGGAGGGGCGAAGTCTCGGCACTGAGGGGGCGTGCAGACGCTTTCCCTATAGGCGACCGCTGCGCCGCGGGCGGGTGCTCTTGGCTCCGGTCCCCCATTCGAGTCCTCGGAGTTCCAGGTCGGCGGCGAGGGGGTCCCGGAAGGAAGGGCGCAGGGCGGCGTCTCCGCTGGGACCCGGGAGCCGGGCCTGGGTCTCCCCGAGCCGGCCAGCATGGAGAGGTAACGCTTAGTCCCAGCGCCTGGTCGTGACTGGCACAGAACCCCGGGATCGCCGGGTGTTCTGCTTTGGATTGTGTTATTTTCGTTGTGTTCCTTCCAGTCCTCTTTCAAATGTGATGAGGAAACTTCTCCAACAGAAAGCGTATTGATTCGTGCAAATCGCAAATCGTTTTTAGTTGCAAGAGAATTTTCAGAATCTTTTTGCCTTTTAATTCATTTCCTAACAGGAAGATTCTGTATTTTGAGTTGAAACGTTGATGGGAGATGTTTATAACCTGACGAAGTTTAGTTTTTTTTTTTGTAATGGTGACTGTTATTTACGTAAAAATTTAAAAGACTCACTTAAAAATTACCTTCCGTTAATTTGTTCCTCGATAGCAATAATCTCTGCAATAATTTGAACCAGTGTCATTTTGCAGGTTAGAACCCTGCGTGCAAATTTAAAGTCTTGTTTACATCCTTGTAAGGAGTTGGATGTTAAGTTGACCAGAAACCAGGTCTCTTAGCTGTCACTGCTGTTCCCTTTCTTTAAAACGTTAATGCCTGATAGATATTGTTGATGTATATTTATATACATCCCTGCCTAATTTCTTGTCTTATTGCTAAAGGGTAGGTTGTCTATTTATCTGATCTTGCGTGTTTTTTTCCTCAACACAATGAGTCAACTTACAGTACTTATCGTACTTACTGCCTGTAATACTTGGGAATAATCTGCCTTGTGACACCGATCAATTTTCTCTGTAGACATTCCTGTATTCAACACCCATAGAGCAGGTGCTTGTGAAAACATTTTGCTTCACACTCTGATTTAGGTGCTAGGGTTTCCTTTAGTCCTTCTTCCCCCTCCCCAAGCTGGGAGTACTTGAAAATCTATGCTGACATGTACTTTTTACATCTCCCAAGTCACTTGACGCATTTGGCCTGATATATGGCTTATCTGTATATTTCTCCTAGACTAAGGAAATGAGAATTGTATTCTTGTCTTTGAAGTCTACAGTATCCATCAGAGGGCCTGGCACATAATGGAAACTTTGTCGATATTTGTTGAATAATGATCATAAATTCTTTGTGAGACTTGTCTGAAGTTGCTTGGAAAGCAGTATCTGAGCTGTAGATTGTGATCTTTTGTAATGTATGCCTCTGGGAATTTGCTTACACAATGAAATATTCTCTATATTTTTAAAGCTTGTTTGTAATCTAAATTTTTTTTTTTTTTTTTCAGTTTAGCAGATATTTTCAGAAATGACTACTTAAGAAATGGCTGGAAACCAAATTAATGTCCAAAGAAGAGCTTAGGGACTTAGTAACATTCTTTTCAAAAATAACTATCTGCCAAAATGTCATTACACACTACTTATAATAGAAATAACAGCGGCGATATTCTTGATATTCCTCCTTCCCAAAATAGTTCATCACTCAATACCCACACCCACAGTAGCCGACTTAAGCTGCATTTGAAGTCGGATATGTCAGAATGTGAAAATGATGATCTATTATTGAGATCTGTAGGTAAAGTCAGAGACATAAATAGCACTTACATTATTTCTGCCAGTAAAAAAACAGGAGATGTGACCCTTACCCCTAACCCTGTAGGTAGATTGTCACTTCGGAGAAGAACTACAAGGAACAAAGAATCGTCTTTGCTTGCTAGTGAGTTGGAAGACACAACTGAAAAAACATCAGAAACATGTCTCGCATTACAACGTGCTCAAACAGATTCTGCAGAACAAAAACCTACTCAGAGCAAGTGGAAAACAGCTGAAACAGATTCTGTCAAAAAATGGCAAATGACAGCGAATGTGGGAGGCAAAATAGGAAGTAATTGTGTTTCTAAGGAAAGTAGAACAAATGTAAAGATTGTAAATAATGCTAAAAACTCCTTCGTGGCTTCTTCTGTACCTTTAGATGAAGACTCAGACTCAAAAGTCATTGAAATAATGGCTAATAAGAAATACAAAGAAACATTTTCTGCCCCCAGTAGGGCAAAAGAAAATGTTGTGCTTAAGTACTCGCGTAATAGAACACCCATTGCTTCCTTGAGTCAGACTGAAGTTGTTAGATCAGGACACTTGGCAATGAAACCTACTCAGAGCAAGTTGGATATCAAAGTGTCGGGAACAGGAAACTTGTATCATAGAAGTATTGGGAAGGAAACTGCAAAAACTTCAAATAAATTTGGGAGCTTAGAAAAGAGGACACCTACCAAATGTATAACAGAACACAAATTGACACCAAAGTGCAGCACACCTCAGCTTAAGAGCCCAGCTCCATCAATACTGAAGAATAGAATGTCTAACCTTCAAGTTAAACAAAGACCAAAAAGTTCCCTTCTTGCCAATAAACAGGAAAGGTCAGCAGAAAATACAATCCTTCCCGAAGAAGAAACTGCAGGTCAGAACACCTCTGCAGACAAAGACCCCTTAAAAGTAGAGAATAGTCAAGTGACAGTGGCAGTACGCGTAAGGCCTTTCACCATGAGGTATGTGACACCTTTTAAAAATCTAAAGCCAAGCAGTGACATGTAATGTACCTTTAATTCCTCTCTGTCTTTGGAAGGTCAGTGTTCTCATGCATCTTCAAACTTGTTAGTAATATTTTTATATAGAAAGAACTTTTAGGTTTAGTTGTCATGTGTTGATGATTTTTGATGACTGACTATAAAATTAAAAAATTGAAATCACCATATTTTGTATACTGAAGTTTCTCTAGAAATATTGCTTTTAAAAAGTCTAAATGAGTCGCTTAGGTCTCTAATGCAGTCTGCTTTCAGATCTGCAATATATACTGGAATGTTACATCTATCCCTATAAAGAGTCACAACAGGCCAGCTGTGGTGGCTAATGCCTGTAATCCTAGTGCTTTGGGAGGCCGAGGCAGGTGGATCACTTGAAGCCAGGAGTTTGAGACCAGCCTGGCCAACATGATGATGCCCTGTCTCTACTAAAAATACAAAAACTAACCAGGTGTGGTGGTGCCCACCTATAATCCCAGCTACTTGGCAGGCTGAGGCAGGAGAATTGCTTGAACCCGAGAGGTGGAGAGCTGAGATCAGCCCCTGCCCTCCAGCCTGGGTGACAGAGCAAGACTCTGTCTCAAAAAAAAAAAAAGAAGAGCTGTAACAAATTACTTGTTCCCTAAAGAGGTCCTTTCAAAACCCTTTCCAAAGTAGTGATTATCATCGTCATTGTTTCTGATTACTATATAGTAATTATAAATGCAGCGATTCATTAGATTTGATTTTGATGGCAAAAAATCTCTCTCTCAAAGTGATTATGGGTGGGCCAGACACAGATGGAAGTTAAGGCTGGAAAAGATGGACATGACAAAATGTGAATGTGACAAAATGTAATTGTTTTAAAATACTTTAATGTAATTTAAAAAATATTTTAAGAGACAAAAAAAACTTCACAGGGTTAGTACCCTGTATCTAAGCAAGTTAGAGGAGGATATGGTGACAACTGCATTGGGGAAGGAACCTCCAGTTTGAACCTAAGGGGTCAGTAGTTCAAGGCAAGTTGTATAGTACTGTGCATATGGGTTAGTATTAAGAGAGAACTGAGGGTGAGTTGGTTTGAGAGAATTAGGATGCCCATAAAGCCTCAAGAATCATGATAGGAAGAGAAGCAATAGAAGGAGCTGGTAGGGACAAAATGCAAGATGGATGACTATACTGAACTTAGTAAGTGTTGGAAGTAAATGCTCTGTGCCGCAAAGAAAAATAGCACTGAGACAAAAAGATCTTTCAGCAATGTGGTTTTTACTTCCTTGATTGCAGGAAGGGTACTCTCGATAGCCATCTTGCCACAAGAGTACAATGAATAAAGGAAAACAAACAAATTTATCCCTTTTGCATTTGGGGGTTGTCCTTACTGTTGTGTCCGATACTTGTTGGCTACAGTGAGACCTCACAATCTAAACTAAAACCCGATTGGCTAACAGCTTAAAACTTTTCTAAACAGGTAAACGAGCTGGGACATGCCTGTGAGCACGTCCAGCACAGATGTCTTGGTTAAAGTATAAGGACATAGAATATACTATGTTCCCGTAAGCATGGCATGTTTAACAGCTATGTAGGATAGGGCTTAACAAAGTTGTTAGCCCACTTATTCTTTAACAAGAAAGGAAACTTTAAAGAGGAACTTTTTTACTTCCCACAGTAAGGGACCAAGTGTCTGATTCCAAACTCATCAGACAAGCCTTGGAAGCAGGGACAGAGTAGAGCACTCATCAAATTGATGAGGCAGCTGTTCTTTCCAGAATAAATTCTGATTTAAAGCAAGTCTCAGAGTCTGGAATGGAGGGGTGAGGGAGTGTATGTCTGGAGATAGACAAGGAGTAATGACGTTTTTCCGTGCATCTAGAGTAAGTGAAAGATTTCCACCTGGGTCTCAAAGGGAAGAGGTATGTACATGAAGATTCATGATTTTAAGGGAGACAATCTAGAGGAAGTAAGAGAAAGCTTTAGTAGCCAAGAGAGACATGATTCAAACTTGTAGTCAACTGAGTTTGTTGAAATTATATTTGTATTTTATGCCAGCTTTATTTAGATTGACATCTCCCAAATTTGTGTAATAAAGATGTTTCTAGATTTGAACTGAAGACCATAGATAGATTCTAGCAGGTGGGATGGGAAAGGCTATAGTTCAAGAGAAAAGAAAAAGAGGAAAAAAATCTTATAAAAGTAGGGTAGGTTTTCTGGAGAAGAAATCTGGAATTTTCCCTTTGATTGGTGGCACTGGAGCCACAAGAAATATATTTTGGAAACCCACTAGAATTAGGTTTGCTTGTCTGCATTTTCCACATAAAAGTAAAGAATTATCCTGCCTTGGAAGATTGTTTAAATGGTTTTGAGGTCCTTATTATATTCTCTGGGAATAAAACCCATGATAATTATAGTAACTTGATTTTTTTCTTTGTGCTTCTTTCAAGAGAGAAGATTGAAAAAGCATCCCAGGTAGTCTTCATGAATGGGAAAGAGCTAACTGTGGAACATCCTGACATGAAACAAGTTTACAATTTTACTTATGATGTTTCATTTTGGTCTTTTGATGAATGTCACCCTCACTATGCTTGCCAGACAACTGTCTATGAGAAGCTAGCAGCACCACTCCTGGGAAGAGCCTTTGAAGGCTTCAATACCTGTCTTTTTGCTTATGGTCAGACTGGCTCTGGAAAATCTTATACGTAAGTTGTATTGGAAATGCAATTATCCAGAAGTGTTTAAATATACTTTTGTGAGAAGCAGCATGGGGGTGATAGAAAGAATGTAGTTTTGAGACCACACAGATCTTGGCCCAAATCTCATTTATTTTATATACCAGTTCTGCAAACTTGGGCAATTTACTTAACCTCTGGGCTTCAGTTTATACATTTACCTTGATATAATTCATCTTGTAATTATCATTGGCCCCATTTTACTATACTTTATATATTTTATGTAAACTGAGGCCCAGAGAGATTATCTTAGAGTATTTTTGTGAGAATGAGAAGTAAGGCATCTAAGCTAGATGTAGTAGCATACACCTATAGTCTCAGCTACTTGGGAAACTGAGGTAGGAGGATTGCTTAAGTGCAGGAGTTGTTCAGCCTGGGCAACTTAGTCCCCATCTCTTTAAAAAAAAAAAAAAAAAAAAAAGCGGGTGGAGGTGGGCATGTGATAAATGGTAGCTCTGATAATAATGTCCTAGAAGGAAATACTCAGCATTTTAATAATACTAACATTGGAGTTTACTATATTCCAGGCACTGTGCTAAAGACTTTGCTTATATTCTCTAGCAACAATTCTCGGAATTGGATAGTTTTATTATTCCCATTTTACAGTAGAGGAAATCGAAGTTTAGTGAGGTTAAGTATCTTGGATTCAAGATTTGGACTCAGGCAGATTTGGTTCCAGCGTCCAGATTCTTAATTATGAGATTCACTTAACTTACTTCCTACTCCCTTCCCAGCCTATTTCCCCAAAAAGAATTAAAAAAAAAAAAAAACAACTAATTAGTTTCATTTTCCCCTTATTCATAATGTATTTTCCAGGATGATGGGATTTAGTGAAGAACCAGGAATAATTCCAAGATTTTGTGAAGATCTTTTTTCTCAAGTAGCCAGAAAACAAACCCAAGAGGTATGTTCTTATAATATCTGCAAGCTTCTTATCAGAGTAGAAAATAGTCAAACCAAGTTCAAATCAGTCACGGCCACTAAGGATATACTTAATGGAAGATGGTTCTAATTTATAGATCACTCTTCTTGGAACAGTGGTATGGAGAGGGAGGGTGGAAATTCTAAATTCAGAATCAATTCCACCTGCTGGGCAATGAGAGTGAAGTGGTCTCTTCTGTCTTCTCCACCTTGCTTTTGTTTTACTTCTTTTGTGTGTTTGTAGAGGCTCACACATGTGGTAGTTATGTGCTATTATACATGTCTTTGTCTTCAGGTGCGCTGACTTAACTACGTATAGCAGACATAAACTTTTGGACGACGTGAATCAGAAAGAGTAGTGAAATTGGGATTTAAACCCAGAGTTGACTTCCAAAGCCATGCTCTTTCCACTGTGCTACACCTGAACAGGCTGTCCTGGCTTCCTATTTCACTTACTCATTTACACATTCAGCAAGCTTTTATGAGCATTCTGCTGTTGCCAGGCAGCCTGGTAGATCGGTTTTTTTTTTTTTTTTTTTTTTTTTTTTTCCTCAAATTTACTTGGTCATAAGAATCACCAGGAATTCTTGGCAGGGACATATATGTGTATATGTGTATGCACGCTTGCTAAAAATCTCTTCTGGAGGTTCTGAGTCAGTTGGTCTGGTGTAGAGCTTGGGATTTTATAATTTTCCTGCTTTTCCTCCAGTATTTTTTATGATAAAGGAAATTGGGAAAATTGCGCTAGATGAGGGGTGTGGAGTTAAAAGACCCAGTCCCTGTATTCAAAGGAGTGTAGTGGAAAAATAAGCCAGTTAACAGCCAAGTACAATCAATTAAATGCTAAACAAACTAAAGGAGATGCTATAATAGAATATGTGACTAATAACACAGTAGACTGGAGGGAGACAGATTCAGATTCTCTCACAGGAAGGAGCAACTGAGTGTATTTTTGAAGGATACAAAGCATTGTTAGCTTGGTGAAGAAGGGGAGAAAGACATTCCAGGAAGAGGGAGCAGCATATATCAACATTTGAAAGCAAAAAAGTAGGGAACCTTTGGGAATCTATAAATCATTTACTTTGTTTTGAGGATGAAATTTGAGGGTGGAGAGCGCTAAGAGAAGAAACTAGAGGCTGGGAGCGGTGGCTCATGCCTGTAATCCCAGCACTTTGGGAGGCCCAAGCAGGTAGATCACCTGAGGTCAGGAGATTGAGACCAGCCTGGCCAACATGGCAAAACCCTGGCTCTACTAAAAATACAAAAATTAGCCGATGTGATAGTGCATGCCTGTAGTCCCAGCTACTCGGGAGGCTGAGGCAGGAGCATCACTTAAACCTGGGAGATGAAGGTTACAGTGAGCCGAAATTATGCCACTGCATTACAGTCTGGGGGATAGAGTGTGACTCAGTCTCAAACAAACAAACAAACAAACAAAAATAGAGATAAGAAACTAGAGAGGCAAGCAAAACTTGGCTCATGAAGGTCTATCTTAATAAGTATAACTGGTAAGACTTGCTGATTATTGAAATGGAGGATGAGGGAGAGAGAAATCAGTGTTTCTGGTTGGACAACTGGATTAGATATTGATGGCATTTTTTGAGTAAGTGATGAGTTCTGCCTTCTCTGTGGATACACTGTCTGTCTTCTTCTACCTCCTCTGTCTTCTTCTACCCGCAACCTCTCATTCTCAATAATTAAATTGAAAATAAGAAGAGTAGGGAGATCAATAGAAGTATGGTGGTCTTGAGATGATGGGATGAAGTATGATTCAGGTCCAAGTTTAGTGGGCATAAGAGAGTGAGAAAGCTGTGGGCTTGTGGGGCAGAGTCCTCTATTGGCTGTTCAGATTTTAGAGGGAGAGAAATTTGAAGGTAAAGCCAGGGAGAGATAGACAAGTGAAGTTGAGGCAAAGGTCTTGGGATGATTTCAAAGGACTGGGAGGCTCAGATTTTGCATTGAATGACATCGTGTAATGAATGCTTAAGAGCATGGTAAGCCAGGGTGAGGTGGCTCACACCTGTAATCCCAGCATTTGGGAGGCTGAGGCAGGCAGATCACCTGAGGTCAGAAGTTTGAAACCAGCCTGGCCAACCTGGTGAAACCCTGTCTCTACTAAAAATACAAAAATTAGCCCGGTGTGGTGGCCAATGCCTGTAATCCTAGCTACTTGGGAGGCTGAGGCAGGAGAATCGCTTGAACCCAGGAGGCGGACGTTGCAGTGAGCCAGGATCTCGCCACTGTACTCCAGGGTGGGTGACAGACTGTCATTCCGTCTCAAAAAAAAAAAAAAAAAAAGTAGAAATGTGACTTTGAACGTTTACTTATGTCTGTTTCAGAACAGAAAATAGAGATGATATTGACAATATCTTTCTCGTTGGTTTGTTGTGAGGATTAAATGAGTTGATCTATACAAAAGGTTTTGAAGTGTGCTCGACACATAGTGAGCCCAGCTAAATGTGTTTATATCAACTTTGGAATTGAATTAATACTACTCAGGTAGAAGATAATGTATGTGGATGTGGATAATAGAAGGTGGTATAGCAAGCCTCATGGCTGGAGCCTTAGAGGAGAAGAAAGAAGTAGGTCCTCTCCAATGTGGCTCCAACTACCTTCTCAGATTTGTTTCCCACACTACATTTTCATTTCTAAATCCTCCTGGAGCCTCTATAACATAAAATACTATTTTACATAAAATAAGCATTATTGCATGTTTATTGAATTCTGACAGCCCCCATACCTATTCATAGCATTTGTCAATGACATGGTAATTACATGGTGTTGCGTATGTCTGACCTCTTTTTCTGGAAGTGTTTTGTTTCTCATTTCACCCACTGTATTCTGCCTTGTATTACTCATGTACTATATTACATCTCCAATTAGATTTTGAGTTCTTTCAGGATAAAAACTATGTCCAGTTTATCATGTTTTCCCACAGCTCCTAGAAGACTGCTTTGTACCTAGAAGGGCACAATAAATATTTGGCGAATTGAACTTAAATCTCTTTGACACTCCCTTGAAGCTTCCAACTCTGTTAGATGCTTGCTAACTCACTTCTGGGTCAGTGGATGAAATTTATTTCTCTAATAAGGAAACTATGCCCTAACTGTCAGAAGAGCTGTTTGGAAGCAAAATTTCACCTTTTTGGCCTCTACGCTGTGTCTTTCTAAGTCAAAAAGAGGAGAATTTCAGCCCCACTTGGTCTAATGATTGCTTTCTGCCCCAATCAGGAAGAATTGTTGATTTAAGGTTTTAATCTTACTCGATCAAATGTCAGCCTACAGGGTGTCTTTCCTATTCTCAGCACATGTGACGCACAGATGCTGCTGTCCTTACCCAAGAATGCCCTTCCCCCTCTTTCTGGTTCAGTCTGCTGTGTTTCTCATGCTTCACATTCTGTTTACTCCTTCCCTGTTCTCTCTGGTCATCCTAAATATTCCCCTTTTCTGATTAGTCATTTTATTTATAGTCATCTCATTTTTTTTTTTTTTTTGAGACAGTATTTCGCTCTTGTCGCCCAGGCTGGAGTGCAATGGTATGACCTTGGCTCACTGCAACCTCTGCCTCCTACCCAGGAGGCAAGCTATTCTCCTGCCTCAGCCTCACAAGTAGCTGGGATTACAGGCATGTGCCACCACACCCAGCTAATTTTGTATTTTTAGTAGAGACGGGGTTTCACCATGTTGGTCAAGCTGGTCTCAAACTCCTGACCTCAGGTGATCCACCTGCCTCGGCCTCCCACAGTGTTAGCATTACAGGCATGAACCATTGTGCCCGGATAGTCATCTCATTTTGATTCTTAATTTTCTATTGCTCTGTTTTATCTATTGGAAGGTATGTTATATGTCTCTGAGGTGTTAGCCTCATGGGCAAGAACCTTGTCTAAGACTTCTTTGTGTCCTTCTGACGATAACCTAAAGCCATGCACATAGTAGGTAGGTACTTAAGAAATGCTTATTGGATTGAATTGAACCTTACGTAGAAAGTAAGAAGAAATGCAAGGACTTTTGTTATTGTTCATATTAAATTTTTAAAAATTGAGATAAAATTCACTTAACATCAAAGTAACCACTTCAAAGTATACAATTCAATGGCATGTAGTAAATTTATACTGTTGTACAACTGTTACCTCTATCTAGTTCCAAAAATATTTCATTGCTCTCAAAGGGGACCCTCTACCCATTAAGCAGTCACAATCCATTCCCCCTTCTTCCCAGTCCCTGGCAACTACTAATTTGTTTTTGTTCTATGGATTTACCTGTTCTGGAAATTTTATATAAATGGAATCATGCAACATGATGTTTTGTGTCTGGCTTCTTAGCATAATGTGTTGAGGTTTATCTATATTGTTGCATACACAGTACTTCATTTCTTTTAATGGCTGAGTGATATTTCATTGTATGGATATACCAGTTTTATTTATCCATTCATCAGCTGATAGGCATTTGAGTTGTTTATACCTTTTGGCTATTGTGAATACTGCTGCTGTGAACGTTGGTCCACATTTTTGTTTGACCACCTGTTCTCAATTGTTTTCTAAATTTCTGTGGTAATCCTTTTTTTTTTTTTTTTGAGATGGAATCTTGCTCTGACTCCTAGGCTGGAGTGCAGTGGCGTGATCTCAGCTCACTGCAACCTCTGCCTTCTGGGTTCAAGTGATTCTCCTGCCTCAGCCTCTCGAGCAGCTGGGACTACCGTTGCCCACCACCATGCCCAGCTAATTTTTGTATTTTTAGTAGAGGTGGGGTTTTACCATGTTGGCCAGACTGGACTCGAACTGCTGACCTCAAATGATCCACCAACCTTCACCTCCCAAAGTCCTGGGATTACAGGTGTGAGCCACCGTGCCCAGCTCAGTAATTCTGTTTTTAACCTTTCGAGGAACTGTCAGTTATTTTCCAGAGTGGCTGTACCTCCACTATCGATGGAGGAGGGTTCCAGTTTCTCTACATCCTCACCGACAGTTGTTGCTTTGCACTTATTGTTATTATTGCCATCTTAGTGGGTGTGAAGTGATTTTTCATTGTGATTTTAATTTGCATTTCTCTACTGCGAAGTGATGTTGAGCATCTTTTCATGTGCTTGTTTGCCATTTGTACATCTTCTTTGGAGAAATGTCTATTCAAGTCCTTTGTGCATTTTAAAATTGGGCTGTTTGTCTTTATGTTGTTGAGTTGTAAGATATTTTTATATATTTATATATTTTGGATATTAGATTCTGATTACAGATATGATTTGCAAAACATTAAAATAAATTACATGCTTTGTTTCTATTCCTACTAGGTCAGCTATCACATTGAAATGAGCTTCTTTGAAGTATATAATGAAAAAATTCATGACCTTCTGGTTTGTAAAGGTGAAAATGGGCAGAGAAAGCAACCAGTAAGATTAAAACAATTTAATTTGTTTTAATTTCTGTTATTATAAATGCATCTAATTATATGAGTTCTCTGGATGATATAGCTTAAATTTTTACTGTAATTCTATGATAGCATATGCTTGAATCTCCAGTCTAATTTAGGAAATCAGTGGACCATTGGCCAGGCGCAGTGGCTCACCCCTATAATCCCAGCATTTTGGGAGGCTGAGGAGGGTGGATTGCCTGAGCTCAGGAGTTTGAGGCCAGCCTGGGCAACACAGTGAAACCTTGTCTCTACTAAAATACAAAAAAATTAGCTAGACGTGGTAGCGTGTGCCTGTAATCCCAGCTACTCGGGAGGATGAGGCAGGAGAATTGCTTGAACCCGGGAGGTGGGGGCTGCATTGAGCCGAGATCGCACCACTATACTCCAGCCTGAGCAACAGAGTGAGACTCTGTCTCCAAAAAAGAAAGAAAAGAAGCAGAACATTATCATTATCAGAAATTAAATTAGTGATTGGATTTAACCTCTTTATTTTGATCAAGAATTGTGTAAAACTAAAGAGAAAATATTTGTTCCAAGATTTAGGTGGACCACATAAGTTGAACACCAGATTTCGAATAGTTTATAAGCCAAAATGTAGTAAAAGTTTAAAAAATCGTATTTTTGTTATAGGATATGTATTTCAGTGGATTATTTAGCAAATTCATACCTTGTAGATAATCTGTGAAATAGAAAGTTTCACAGTTATATCATCTTTTTAAAAAACTGCTCTTCAGATTTAAAATTTTTAAGTTTGCAGTGAACCTTAGAGCACAAAAAAAAAAAAAAAAAATCTAGCCGGGTGCGGTGGCTCACGCCTGTAATCCCAGCACTTTGTGAGGCCGAGGTGGGTGGATCATGAGGTCAAGAGATCGAGACCATCCTGGTCAACATGGTGAAACCCCGTCTCTACTAAAAATACAAAAAATTAGTTGGGCATGGTGGCGCACGCCTGTAATCCCAGCTACTCAGGAGGCTGAGGCAGGAGAATTGCCTGAACCCAGGAGGCGGAGGTTGCGGTAAGCCGAGATCGCGCCGTTGCACTCCAGCCTCCAGGGTAACAAGAGCGAAACTCTGTCTGGAGGGGCGGAATCTAAAGAAATCAGCTACCTTCTTCACTTGCCCATGGTCGTGCAGTTTACTATTGGCAACATCAAGAAGCTTAAACAAAACTTTAAATATGTTTAAAGCCTTTTTTTGAGAGAGAGCCTCTGTCCCCCAGGCTGTAATCTCAGCACTTTAGGAGGTCGAGGTGGCGGGATCACTTGAGGTCAGGAGTTCCAGACAGGCCTGGCCAACGTGGTGAAAGCCTGTGTCACCATGGCTACAAAAGTTTGCCAGTGTGGTACTGCTGTCTTGTAATCCCAGCTATCCAGGAGGCTGAGGTAGGAGAATGGCTTGAACCAGGGATGTGGAGGTTGCAGTGAGCCAAGATTGTACCACTGCACTCCAGCCTGGGGGACAGAGTAAAAACTCCATCTCAAAAAACAAAACAAACAAGAAAACCAGTAAGACATCTGCTCTGTTAGACAATTCTAATAGCAGTCTTTTAAGAATAAAAAACTAGTGAGACATTTGATGCTACACTATGTTGTTGCATATTGTGCTACTATAAAGTTTTTTATATCTAAGCTGTTTCCTAATGCCTTACAGATTTGTTTTTGTGAGAGCTTTTGTATGTGTGTGTTTTTTTTCCTGGATAAAATAAAGGTAAATCTCTTCCCTTAAACTGAAGATACAGAAAAAGTGAGCATTTAAAATTATATGAAATATTTGTCATACTCCTAATGATTCATGTATTTGCTTCTACTAGCTGAGGGTGAGGGAGCATCCTGTTTATGGACCATATGTTGAAGCACTGTCAATGTAAGTGTTTGGCTCAGCAAGGGCAAGGAGGATAAAACGAGTAGAGTGAATGTTACTCTCCCATAGTCTTTATTGTATTCTCATTGGCCTTCCTTGCTTGGAAACCCTGGGTAGCTGTTTAGACTTCTACCCTTGATATTGCCCAGTTAAGTTTTCCCTCTCTTTCCGTAGAGTGTTAGTTATTTCTTTTTATACTTGCTTGTATCTTTCACAGTACCTGTAAAGTGTCTGGCATGGAGTATTCATTATACTGAGTATGAAGTAAATATTTGCTTTTTCTCCCTTTTACCCTTTCCATTCATCATTAATTAAATCTTCCCTCTCAGCCTGCTTTTTTATACCTGTGACTCTAAGTTAAACAGAAGGTAGTAAGAAGAGTTAAGAGTTTGATACCTACCAAGAGTCACTTACTTTCTTTTTCAACACTCATTTGCTTTCTTAAAGGAAAGGAAAAGTGATTAAGTATTAACTCAGCTGCATTTAATACATCTGGGATTGTATTGGGACCCACATACACCCACATATAAATATACCTATGCATATACATATGTGTTAAAGTATATCTTTTCGTATTGTGATTTAGACTTGAAAATTATGTTAAAATGCTAAGGTCCTTCATTGTGTTAAGAAACATCATACTTTTTGTTAAGATTAAAGCATTATTTTATTTCCTGTCCTTTAAGAATGGGGAAAATAAAAGATTCTGGGAGAATCAGTAAAATAATATTCATGAATTAGTCCATTGTGATCTTCAGAGAGTAATTATGTAATTGAAATGTTACTACTTTATGAGAACAAGAGTATAATCATCAGTAAAATTGATTTTGTCTTTTCTTAAAAATAGGAATGTTGTCAGTTCTTATGCTGATATCCAGGTAAGACTGATTGTATTTTGTCTTCTTTTCCCTAGATAGAAAGAGCATAATCCTAAATATTCTTAAGAATGTTTTTTCTTAATTGTTTTACAAATAAAAGGTTAGTTTTCTTGATTTATCACAAAGTGATTTTGTTTAAGTTTTAATCAAAATAATTGCTCTTCATATTTAAAATAAATTTGACCTTCGTGTAAGCTTAGAGTTACAGAAACAGCCTTTTAAAGTTATTATTTCCTGCCTCTGATTTCTATGTCAGAAAAAAAGGCAATGGGAACACAAATTATTAAAAGATAAATAAATACTCATTTAATTTTATAAATTAATTACAAATGTGTATATGTTATCTCTCTTAATTTTATACCAATGAATTACAGTCTGCTGATCTGATCTGCCTTCCTTTTTCCTTATAAGAGTTGGCTAGAATTGGGAAATAAACAGAGAGCTACTGCTGCTACTGGTATGAATGATAAAAGTTCCCGATCTCATTCAGTTTTCACCCTGGTGATGACCCAGACCAAGGTATTTTGTTTTCCACAAGCAAGATAGTAAATACATTTAAGTTTCATGTTTTTCTTATTATCTTCTTTAAATCAAAACATAAAAGTACAGTCATATCAATATATACACTTAATTTGATTGTAGGAAATAGACCTAAGTTTGAATGACTTTTGGTCAATGACCAAGTGACGTATGGCAGTATACTGTTTACCGGATTTTTAAACCAATAATAGATGCTTGTTATCATGATACCATTGATATGAGCATATCAACATATTATAGTATGTTTTACATAATATATAGTAATTATGCAAGTATTTAGAAAAACATCAGAAAGTAAAAGATTTTTAAAAATTTAGCCATAGGTTCCACTACTCAGGTAAACCCCTCTAAACATTTTGGTATATAATCTTTCAGGTTTTTTTTACCATCACAATTAAATTCACTTAAAATCACACTGTTAAAATCTGTAACAATTACTAAAATTTTTATAAAGTAATTTTTAATACCTATATAATATTCCATTAACTATTACAGTTCCTCAAGTTTTTCTCTACTGTTGGACATTTGAATTATTTTTAAATGTTTTGCCGTTGTAATGCTGGGATAAGCAACATCTTTGTGCATTAAACTTTTTCTCTATTATTATTTCCATAATATAACTGAATGGTTACAGATTTTAATCTCTAAAGCAATTTCTTTTATTTTGGCATAATCTATCCACTGTTCAATATATTCTTTTCAGTTGACTGTGTGAATATTTTTATGTTATAAATTATCACAGATTTACCAAGGGATGATTTTAGGCCAGGTGCGGTGGCTCACTCCTATAATCCCAGCAATTTGGAGGCTGAGGCGGGAGGATCGCTTGAGCTCAGGAGTTTGAGACCAGCCTAAGCAACATAGTGAGACCTTGTCTGTACTAAAAATAAACAAATTAGCAGATATAGTAGTGCGTGCCTCTGGTCCCAGCTACTCAGGAACCTGAGGTGGGAGAATTGCTTGAATGCAGCTGATTGAGGCTGCAGTGAGCCGTGATCATTGCCACTGCACTCCAGCCTGAGTGACAGAGCGAAACCCTGTCTCAAAAAAAGAGAGACAATTTAAAAAATAAATGAGTGATGTGTAATCTTGTACAACTTTCCCTTTAAAAAACCTCTATTGGTAATAAATCATAGAACTTAAATTATTTTCATTTAATATCATTTTGCTGTAGACAGAATTTGTGGAAGGGGAAGAACACGATCACAGAATAACGAGTCGAATTAACCTAATAGATCTGGCAGGCAGTGAGCGCTGCTCTGCGGCTCACACTAGTGGAGATCGACTGAAGGTAAATGGGATGTTTTTCTCCTTTCGATTAAATTTATTCCTGAGGTCATTATTTTTAAGGAGAATACAAACTTAATACACTTAACCCCCCAAAATGTATCTTTATCTGCAGTTTATAGACTGCAATGCTGTGGTTGAAAAAGAGATACATACTTTTTGGTTATGACTAATTTTTAAAGAAAATAAGTTTTTGCCTGGTGCGGTGGCTTGTGCCTGTAAGGCTGAGGCAGGTGGATCACAAGGTCAAGAGATCGAGACTATCCTGGCCGACACGATGAAACCCCGTTCCTTCTGAAAATACAAAACTTAGCTGGCCGTGGTGGTGCACACCTGTAATCCCAGCTATTCAGGAGGCTGAGGCAGGAGAATTGCTTGAACCTGGAAGGCAGAGGTTGCAGCGAGCCCAGATTGCGCCACTGCACTTCAGCCTGGTGATAGAGCAAGACTCATCTCAAAAAAAAAAAACAAAAAGGAAAGAAAATAAATTTTGAGTCATAAAAACGTTGCTAGTTTATAGAAAAAAGTATTTATAGACAGGTGTTGTGCCATGTGTCTGTAGTCCCAGCTAATCAGGAGGCTCAGGTGGGAGGATCGCTTGAGCCTGGGTGGTTGAGGTTCCAGTGAGCCATGTTTGTGCCACTGCACTCCAGCCTGGGCATCAGAGTGAGACTCTGTCTCAAAAAAAAGAAAAGAAAAAAGTATTTACTCAGACATATGAGGGGAGAAGTATGTTTTGTAAAATAAATTTGTTGAGAAGTTATTTTAAGTCAAGTTTCTTTTTTCCTTTTGTGCAGGAAGGTGTGAGTATTAATAAGTCCTTGCTAACTTTGGGAAAAGTTATATCTGCACTCTCTGAACAAGCAAACCAAAAGAGAGTTTTTATTCCTTATCGTGAATCTGTTCTTACATGGCAAGTATCTTTTGAAGTATAAAGAACTGCATAAAATAATAGTGAATACTGTGGGGAAAAGAATGATAGACTGACTTCATTAACTTTGGGATGGAGAAAAGTGGTAAGCATTATGAATTCTAGAGCCAAACTACCTGGACTTGAATCTTAGGTCAGCATCTTAAAAGCCCTGTGACTTTGGGCAAATTACTTAATATTCCAGCCTGTTTCCTCATCTGTAAAATAGGGACAAAATCAATACCTTTTAGGAGTAAGTGAGGATTAAAGTATTAGTGTAAAATTCTTAGTACATAATATGTACGATATGAGTGTAAATAATTATTCTTGTACTTAACTATTATTTGTCCCTGATGTTTGAACATATATGGTACTACCGAACATATTGCTAGTTGTATAAAGAGAAATTGAATCATTTTGTTTGATAGCACACAGTGCTAATATGTGGGTGCTCAATAAATGTTTTCATTAATGAATGTAGATTTAATTTTCAGTATGTTACATTCAGATTACATCTGTGGATTTACTATTCAGTTCTGATATTAATATATAGTTAGTATACAGGCATTAATATACAGTTATGATAAGGACTCCATCTCTACTTGAGGGTAATCTGTCTTTATAATTGGTTTATTATAATGTGGTTCCCACCTTGAATCCTATAAGGGAAAATCTTATTTTTTTCATGTCTTATGAAAGTTAAAAATAGTGGCATTCCTTCTGCACTAATACATGTTTTGTCTCATACTCTTTTTTTCTCTAAAGATATTGCATATAGTACAATATAGAATTTTTATTTCAATGTTCATTCATCATTTTCAACATTTATTGAGCACCTGCTTCAAAAGGTTGTGATAGCACTGGAAATACAAAGATGACCAAGGCACATAGTCCCTTTTCTATGTAGCTCACAGTATTGTTAAGAGGAGAGGTATCCTAAGAAATATTTGGTGGTTAACCACATTTTAAAGTCTGCACAGACTATTGCCTCGTGAAACAGTATAGAAAGTGTAAGAGAAAAAAAGTGTTTATGAGATCTAGAAATAGTTACAAACACCAGAAAAAGTTTTAAATGGTATTTGAGTAGACTATAATAATACTGTATTATATACCCTATTAGTTTGTTTTGTGCTTTCTAGATGATTACTGTTATTAGGTTGTTTTAGAAGCAAAGTCTAATTATGACTTTTTTTCCTTGCAGGCTGTTAAAAGAAAGTCTGGGTGGAAATTCAAAAACTGCAATGATTGCTACAATTAGTCCCGCTGCCAGCAACGTAGAAGAAACATTAAGCACACTTAGATATGCTAACCAAGCCCGTTTAATAGTGAACATTGCCAAAGTAAATGAAGATATGAATGCTAAGTTAATTAGAGGTGAATATTTTCTCAGAATTTAAAAATTATTTTGCCACAGTTTAGTCTGAAATATTAGTTGTAGTCTTAAAATATGTAATTCATGAAAATCAAAGGGTTTTTTTCTCTACCTATTTGAATAGATTCTAGTCATTAGCCTGTAGTGATTGAGTATGATAGGTAGAAGGACAGAGTGAAAGACAGTAAGTAATAAGGAGAAAAACAATCGGAAAAAAGCCCACAGAGAACAGCGTATGGGGAGAGGGGAAACAGCAAGCATTAAACCATACGTTTTCGTACTGAGTCATAGATGTGTACAGCAAAGTACCAATGAAACTATTTGTTATTTTTCTTTTATGACCTTTCTTCCATTGTCGTTTTATGTACTAGCTCTGCTCATGCTTAGTTCATTGATCCAAAGGCAATTTAAGCTTGAGTTTCTAACAGGCTGAACTTATTTATGCTAAATACTGCTTTCTCTTTATCTCTAGCTAATCATCAATTTAGAATAGACATTAATGCCTGCAAGGTTACTTGATTTGTACAGTTTTATCTTTGCTGATATAGAACTGTCATTTTTTCATGGCCCTTTGTCTTCTGGCGCTTTTTAGCGGCAGAAGGTGATAGACATTTCAGATGTGTGAGCCGAGAAGAATCTGTTTTCTCTATTCTGATCCACCCTTTCCCTTTTGCATCCCTTCTATTTCACAAGTGGGACTGTTTTCATTAAAAATAAGTATTCCGGGCTGGGCATGGTGGCTCACACCTGTAATCCCAGCACTGTGGGAAGCCAAGGCAGGCGGGTCACTTGAGGTCAGGAGTTTGAGAGCAGCCTGGCCAAGATGGTGAAACCCCGTCTCTACTAAAAATATAAAAATTATCTGGGCACGCTGGTGGGCACTTGTAATCCCGGCTTTTCAGGAGGCTGAGGCAGGAGAATTGCTTGAGCCTGGGAGGTGGAGGTTGCAGTGAGCTGAGATTGCACCACTGCACTCTGCCTGGTGTGACAGTGAGACTCTGTCTCAAAAATAAAGTAAAATAAAGTAAGTATTCTGAATTCCAGCTTGAAAAATCTTTTGATCTTGGCTGCTCTGCCTAGCGAGTAGGCATTCTTTTATTCCTTTACTTTTTAAATAAACTTACTTTTACTTTAACAGTTCCCCCTTTGCCTCTCAAAAGTGTCCCACTTTGGTCAATACATTATATAGCTTTTCTGCTTACGAACAGGGAAAGATAATTAATATGGGAGCATATTTCAGGTTAAGACTAAGTAAAGATTTATAGGTTATAAAAGTAAAGCTGATTTTTCCAATATTCTGTTTTATTTAGTAATACTGTATTAAACACCTCAAATGAAATAGAAGATTGTAGGATTGTTCTTATTATGGAAATCATTATATATTTAATGTGATTTTCATGCATCTTTGTATAAATCTTCAGAATTGAAGGCAGAAATTGAAAAGCTAAAAGCTGCTCAGAGAAACAATCGGAATATTGACCCGGAACGATACAGACTCTGTCGGCAAGAAATAACATCCTTAAGAATGAAACTGCATCAACAGGAGAGAGACATGGCAGAAATGCAAAGGTAGAATATAGTCAGTCCTTTAAATGTTAAGTGTGTTGCTGTGGAATCATAAGACTGATAAGGACCCCAAGAGGATACTGATGTCTTTTTCCGTACCTTCCTTGTGAATAGAGCAGCCCAGTCCCAGACTATCATATTTTAAATATTACTGGGTAGTTCCCAATTTTCACTGATTGTCTCTTGACTCTCAATCTTATATATCTGGATGTTTTTAACTCTTATTTTCTTTGTCGTTGGAAAGAGTATGGAAAGAAAAGTTTGACCAAGCTGAAAAAAGAAAACTTCAAGAAACAAAAGAGTTACAGGTATCATTTCAACTTTCTCAACTGATTTGAAAATAAAAGATATATGCCAAGAAATAAATATTGCCAATATGCCAATGCATGTAAATTTAATGTTTCAAATACTTACTGTGTACTGCCTCTGTACAAAGCAATACCATAAGGATAATTAAGAAATGTTAAGGTCAAGATTGATTGCTTAGAGCTAGCCCATAAGCTAGCTGGAAAGTTAAGAGAATGAATAAACCATCTTGTTACAGTTACTTTGGTTTCACAGATACATATTAAATGTCTGTGCTGTGCCAGGAACAGGGGAAGCCAAGGTGATTAAATACAGTTTCATCCCTCAGAGAGCTTGTGATCCAGAGAGAGATTTACAAAATGTAAATCGAAGACTAAAATGCAACATGATTTCATTAGATTGAGCTATAAGCAATTCCACTTTTGTAGGTAAAGAATGGTTGAACACGGGTAGTTTCATATGGTTGAAGCTTATGTAATGAAAAGTATTTCAAGTGATTGGCAGTGGGACAGTACTATAAGAATTCAGGAGAAGGAAGGAAAATTCCTTGGGCATGGCCAGTCCAACCTCATAGAAGAGGTGGCATTTGAGATGGGCTTTGAAGTTTGCATAAGATTTTAGTAGGAAGAGAAAAGGAAGAGAGCATTCTCTGAAGAGGAAATTTTGTGAAAGTAAAGGTAGAAAAGTTTGAGGTGTCTTTAGAAAGGTTGTGTAGATTGGTTTTATTGGAAGTAGTTTATATGAGATCATAAGGAGATAAAATTGGAAAGATACATTATGATTAGTTTATGAAGGACTTGATTTCCAGGCCAAAGAAATCAAGTTTTATCCTGTAGGAAGTGAGAAGCTATTGAAAGTGACCAGGGAATTTACATTATGAGGGTACCCTTTCAAGAGAATTAATCTGGCTTAGGATATGAGATGGCTTGATAACAGAAGGTGTTGACAGTGATCAGGAGACTGCTTCAGTAGTTTTGGTGTGAGTTGACAGGGGCCTGACTAAGGGGATGGCAATGAAGATGCCACAAAATAAACGGATCTATTCTGAAGATGGCCAGTCAATAAGAATAGACACGATTCGGTGACGATAGATTGATACATGAGTAGACTGAGGGTGGTGAAGGACAAAGAAGGTAACAGTTACAGGGAGGTCACAAAGGAGAGATTCTAAGGAAGGAGGAGAGAGTCTAAAACATGTTTATGGCCGGGTGTGGTGGCTCACGCTTGTACTCTCAGCACTTGGGGAGGCCGAGGCGGGTGGATCACCTGAGTTCAGGAGTTTGAGACCAGCCTGGCCAACATGACGCAACCCCGTCTCTACTAAAAATACAAAAATTAGCCCGGTGCAGTGGCACGTCCCTCTAGTCCCAGCTACTTGGGAGGCTGAAGCAGGAGGATCCCTTGAACCTGGGAGGCAGAAGTTGTAGTGAGCTGAGATTGCACCACTGCACTCCAGCCTGGATGACAGGATGAGACTCCGTCTCAAAAAAAAAAAAAAAAAAATATGTAAAAATCTAATTTATTGAGACTTATTATAGAATTGTTCAAATGTTTAATATAGACTATTTGTTTTAGGTGAATTTAACAATTTCATACTGTGATTAAGATTAATTTCTTTTTCTGACTTCTACCAGAAAGCAGGAATTACATTTCAAATGGACAATCATTTGCCAAACCTTGTTAATCTGAATGAAGATCCACAGCTATCAGAGATGCTGCTATATATGATAAAAGAAGGAACAACTACAGTCGGAAAGTACAAACCAAACTCAAGCCATGATATTCAGTTATCTGGGGTGCTGATTGCTGATGATCATTGGTATGTTAATCCTCTAAAAAAAAAAAGGCACTCATTCTATATCTTGATAACATGTGGTTTCCTTCATACGGCATATTCACTGATGCTGACCGTTTGGTGTAACTCTCCAAACTCATTGTTTGGCCAGGAAAAACATACATCCTGCCTGTTTTGTGAGGATGATAAGGTCAGTTACTCTCAACATAAAGTACAGTGTAATGCTCTCTCGTTTTTGTTTTGGCGTCCTTGATCTGTTGATTGAAGAATAATATCGCTTTTGCAATTATAATGATGCACATGAAAGTATTACATAGCAGAATTTTTGGTTGGATTGACCAATTTAAAAATGTTTTATGTTAATTTTGTTCATATGAATGGAATGATACTTCTGTATATTGTTGGAATGATAGCGTATGTAAACTTTTGGGACTCCGCATTGTGTTTCTAAGATTTATGTACATTGGTCCTGTTTTATTTTCACTGCTACGAAGTATTCCCATTGTATGAATTTATCTCTTATAAAATTTAGGAAGCACTTTTTAAGAGTAAGGATAATTGGTTTTAGAATATGTGCATGTTCAACTTTAGTAGACAATTTCAAGTTGTTTTCCAAAATGATTACCAGTTTTTATTCCCATTGGCATTGAGAATACGTGTTACTCCACATCCTTGCCAATACTTAGTACTGTCAGATTTTAATTTATGCCAATCTGATGTACATAAACTAGTATCTTTTTATGGATTCATTTTACATTTCTGGTTAATAATAAGGTTGAGCATCTTTTCATGTGTAGATTGGCCATTTTTGTTTACTATTCTGTGACTTGACTGTCCATATCTTCTGTCTATTTTTCAACTGATTCATTTGTTTCTTAACAATTTGTAGGAGTTGCCAATCCTTCATGAGCTTTCTGGTATATATATATATGTTTTAAGATTTTAATCTTTTTTAAAAAATATATATATTTTATTGCACTTTAGGTTCTGGGGTACATGTGCAGAACGTGCAGGATTGTTGTATAGTTACATATATGGCAGTGTGGTTTGCTGCCACCATCCCCCCGTCACCTATATCTGGCATTTCTCCCCATGTTATCCCTCCCCAACCTCCCTATGCCCCCGCTGTCCCTCCCCTATTCCCCCTCAAACAGACCCCAGTGTGTGATGCTCCCCTCCCTGTGTCCATATGTTCTCGTGTTTCAACACCCACCTATGAGTGAGAACATGCAGTGTTTGATTCTTGTGTCAGTTTGCTGAGGATGATGGTTTCCAGATTCATCCATGTCCCTAAAAAGGACATGAACTCATGGTTTTTTATGGATTCATAGTATTCTATGGTGTATATGTGCCATATTTTCCTTGTCCAATCTATTGTCAATGGGCATTTGGGTTGGTTCCAGGTCTTTGCTATTGTAAACAGTGCCACTGTGAACATATGTGTGCATGTGTCTTTATATTAAAATGATTTATAATCCTTTGGGTATATACCCAGTAATGGGATTGCTGGGTCAAATGGAATTTCTATTTCTAGGTCCTTGAGGAATCACCACACTGTCTTCCACAATGGTTGAACTCATTTATATTCCCACCAACAGTGTAAAAGTGTTCCTATTTCTCTACATCCTTTCCAGCATCTGTTGTCTCCATATTTCTTAATGATCGCCATTCTAACTGGCATGAGATGGCATCTCAGTGTGGTTTTGATTTGCATTTCCCTAATGGCCAGTGATGATGAGCATTTTTCATATGTTTGTTGGCTTCATATATGTCTTCTTTTGAAAAGTGTCTGTTCCTGTCCTTTGCCTACTTTTGAATGGGTTTGTTTGTTTTTTTCTTATAAATCTGTTTTAGTTCTTTGTGTATTCTGGTTATTAGCTCTTTGTCAGATGGGTACATTGCAAAAATTTTTTCCCATTCTTTTGGTTGCTGGTTCACTCTAATTAATGATTTTTTCTTTTGCTTCAGCTCTGGAGTTTAATTAGATCCCATTTGTCTATTTTGGCTTTTGTTGCCAATGCTTTTGGTGTTTTAGTCATGAAGTCCTTGCCTATGCCTATGTCCTGAATGGTTTTGCCTAGATTTTCTTCTAGGATTTTTATGGTATTAGGTCTTATGTTTAAGTCTTTAATCCATCTGGAGTTAATTTTAGTGTAAGGTATCAGGAAGGGGTCTAGTTTCTACTTTCTGCTCATGGCTAGTCAGTTTTTTCAACATCATTTATTAAACAGGGAGTCCTTTCCCCATTGCTTGTTTTTGTCAGGTTTGTCAAAGATCAGATGGTTGTAGATGTGTAGCATTGCCTCTAAGGCCTCTGTTCTGTTCCATTGGTCTATATCTCTGTTTTGGTACAAGTACCATGCTGTTTTGATTACTGTAGCCTTGTAGTATAGTTTGAAGTTAGGTAGCAAGATGCCTCCAGCTTTGTCCTTTTTGCTTAGGATTGTCTTGGCTATGTGGGCTCTCTTTTGGTTCCATGTGAAGTTTAAGGTGGTTTTTTCCAGTTCTGTGAAGAGGGTCATAGGTAGCTTGATGGGGATAGCATTGAATCTATAAATTACTTTGGGCAGTATGGCCATTTTCACAATATTGATTCTTCCTAACCATGAGCATGGAATGTTTCTCCATCTGTTTGTGACCTCTCTTCCGTGAGCAGTGGTTTGTAGTTCTCCTTGAAGAGGTCCTTTACATCCTTTGTTGTATTCCTAGGTATTTTATTCTCTTTGTAGCAATTGTGAATGGGAGTTCACTGATGATTTGGCTCTCTGTTATAGTCTGTTGTTGGTGTATAGGAATGTTTGTGATTTCTGCACATTCATTTTGTATCCTGAGACTGCTGAAGTTGCTTATCAGTTTCAGGAGATTTTGGGCTGAGACGATGGGTTCTACTAAATATTACAATCGTGTCATCTGCAAATAGAGACAATTTGACTTCCTCCGTTTCTAACTGAATACTCTTTATTTCTTTTTCTTGCCTGATTGCTCTGGCTAGAACTTCCAATACTATATTGAATAGGATTGGTGAGAGAGGGCATCCTTGTCTAGTGCCAGATTTCAAAGGGAATGCTTCCAGTCTTTGCCCATTCAGTATGATATTGGCTGTGGGTTTGTCTTAAATAGCTTTTATTATTTTGAGATATGTTCCATCAATGCCTTGGTTATTGAGAGGTTTTAGCATAAAGGGCTGTTGAGTTTTGTTGAAGGCCTTCTTTGTATCTCTTGAGGTAATCATGTGGTTTTTGTCTTTGATTCTGTTTATGTGGTGAATTACATTTATAGACTTGGGTATGCCGAACCAGCCTTGCATCCCCGGAATGAATCCTACTTGATTGTGCTGGATAAGCTTTTTGATGTGCTGTTGCAATCGGTTTGCCAGTATTTTATTGAAGATTTTTACATCTGTGTTGATCATGGATATTGGCCTGCAGTTTTCTTTTTTTGTTGAGTCTCTGCCGGGTTTTGGTATCAGGATGATGTTGGTCTCATAAAATGATTTGGGAAGGAGTCCCTCTTTTTGTATTGTTTGGAATAGTTTCAAATGGAGTGATACCAGCTCCTCTTTGTATGTCTGGTAGAATTCAGCTGTGAACCCATCTGGACCTGGGCTTTTTTTGGTTGGCAGTCTATTAATTGCTGCCTTAACATCAGCCCTTGTTACTGGTCTTTTCAGGGTTTTGACTTCTTTCTGGTCAAAGCCCAAACCAGGGAGGGTGCAAGTGTCCAGGAATTTATCCATTTCTTCCAGGTTTACTGGTTTATGTGCATAGAGTTGTTTGTAGTAATCTCTGATTTGTATTTCTGTGGAATCAGTGGTGATATCCCCTTTATCGTTTTTTATTGCATGTATTTGATTCTTCTCTCTTTTCCTTTTTATTAATCTGGCTAGTGGTCTGTCTATTTTGTTGATCTTTTCAAAAAACCAGCTCTTGGATTTATTGATTTTTTTGAAGGGCTTTTTGTGTCTCCATCTCCTTCAGTTCTGCTCTGATCTTAGTTATTTCTTCTCTTCTGCTAGCTTTTGAGTTTTTTTGGTCTTACTCCTCTGGCTCTTTCAATGTTGATGATAGGCTGTTGATTTTAGATCTTTCCTTGCTTCTCATGTGGGAATTTATTGCTGTAAGTTTCCCTCTAGACACTGCTTTAAATGTGTCCCAGAGATTCTGGCATGTTATGTCTTTGTTCTCGTTGGTTTCAAAGAACATCTTTATTTCTGTCTTCTAGATGTTTTGAAGTTTTGCTTTCACATTTAAGTTCTTGGATGTCTGGAATTTTTTGTTTGGTGTGAATTAGGGATCTAAATTCATTTATTTTCCACGTGAATAGCCGTTTCTCTCAGTACCATATATTAAATAGTTGATTGCTTCTTTTGGGATCTATAGAACTACAAAAAATTTCTAAAAATATGGGAATCTGTTTCTTCCTACTAATACCCTATAGTCTTAATTACTTGAGCTTTGTAATGACTCCATCTTTCTTTGTTTCTGTTTTTTTCTTTTCTTTCTTGATGGAGTTTTGGTTTGTTCAGGCTGGAGTGCAATGGCACCATCTCAGCTCACTGCAATCTCTGCCTCCTGGGTTCAAGCAATTCTCCTGCCTCAGCCTCCTGAGTAGCTAGGATTATAGGCACCCACTACCACACCTGGGAAATTTTTGTGTTTTTAGTAGCGATGGGGTTTCACCATGTTGACCAGGATGGTCTCAAACTCCTGACCTCAGGTGATCTTCCCACCTCGGCCTCCCAAAGTACTAGGATTACAGGTGTGAGCTACCGCACCTGGCCTGTAATGAATCTTTATATCCTTTTTTTGTTTGTTTTTTGAGATGGAGTTTCATTCTGTCACCCAGGCTGGAATGCAGTGGTATGATCTTGGCTCACTGTAACCTCTAGCCCTGGGTTCAAGCAATTCTCATGCCTTAGCCTTCCTAGTAGCTGGGATTATAGGTGCACGCCACCACGCCCAGCTGATTTTTGTATTTTTAGTAGAGACAGTTTTGCCATGTTGGTCAGGCTGGTCTTGAACTCCTGACCTCAGATGATCCACCCACCTTGGCCTCCCAAAGTTCTGGGATTACAGGTGGGAGCCACCACACCTGGCCATGAATCTTTATATCTGGTAGGGCGTATCCTCATTTCTTTAGGTTCTTTTGTTTTTCTATTAATTATTTTATTTAACAAATAAATACAGTATTATTAACATCTGTTGGAAAAATACAGAACACGCTCCCAAAGAGTTGAGTCCACTAAGGAAATTGGAAGCCCACTGCTTGACTCTAAGTCTCTACTTTCATTTTTATTCCCTTAATCAGTTTATCTCATTCAGTAGACCATGAACTTCATGGGAGCTGGTTTCATGTCTGTCTTCATTGCTGACACATACCTGGTGCTTGGAGGCTTAAATGAATAAGAGAACTCCGTGGCTGAGGCTGGTCATGTGAAAGAGATAAAAAGAACTTCAGTATCCATTAATGCATATTATGTGTTAGATGAGTACTGCATGCTTACTACTTAAAAGTAAAGAGAAGGTAGAATTGACTTCTAACGTAAGCCCTAAAAAAATAGCTTCTTGGAGGGTTGAAAGTTGCGCCTTCAAGAATGGTTGCAATAAGAGAGAGGATGTGACTTTTCTCAACCTCTAGAAGGAATGATTCAAAGAAAGGAAAGCTGACATTAAGGCAAATTCAGAGCATTCATATGGTTGGTTGAGTGTGAAATGGAGTTCTTATGGGGAAATAGTGGCAGATGAGGGAGGTTGGTGGTTGAAGCCAGTTTGTGGGGAGTCCAGAATGGTAGGCCATGGAATTTTGAGAGCAGAGTAGACAGCATTAGGAAAGGAAAGGGATCAGAACAAGCACACATTGTGGATAAGACAGTAGACTGGTGGGAGGGATGTCATGCCTAAGGATGAACTGGTTTTCTATATACTTTTCTCTAGATGCTTTAATTGAACTATTATTCTCCAATTACAGATCTTGGAGCCTAATCAACAGCTATAAAGGTCTTTGGTTAGGACTCAGCTTTTGTTACAGTTTTCCTTTTCTTTCTATCCAGTTAATCCAAAGATGAATTGGACTTTGGAGTTTATTTCCTATTCTCTGAATAAACAGACTCAAAGAAATATATAGCACTTATAGCTGATTTTCCACAGTATCACCTTATCATCCAGTTAATTAGGTGACTTGAGTATGTTTTCATCTCCATGCTTTTTTTTCCTCTATAGTACCCCACTTTTTTCAAGAGGGGAAAAATATTTGTTCTCTCTATTTTTAAAGCTCATGTATAAAACCATCGGCTTAGAAAATTAAAAAGCACAAACTTTTATTCAAAAGAAATAGTTGTCAATGTGTTAATAATGTTTTTTGCTTTAGGGTTTTTTTTTTTTTTAATTTTTTGGGGAAGTTTTTTCTTTGTTTTTCAAAGAAGTTATAATGAAAATACATGCAATGAAGAATGTTTCCACAGCTGGTGGATCGGATTGCTAGAGGCCAGGCTTTTTTCACCAAACTTCGAATCTAGTTGGAGGCCGGGCACAGTGGCTCATGCCTGTAATCCCAGCACTTTGGGAGACGAGGTCAGGAGTTCGAGACCAGCCCAGTCAACACGGCAAAACCCCGTCTCTGCTAAAATACAAAAATTAGCTGGGCATAGTGACGGGTGCCTGTAATTCCACTACTCGGGATGCTGAGGTGGGAGGATTGCTTGAACCTAGGAGGCAGAGGTTGCAGTGAGCTGAGATTGCACCACTACACTCCAGCCAAGGCGACAGAGCAAGACTCCGTCTCAAAACAACAACAAGAACAATAACAACAACAAATCTAGTTGGAGGAAAATAAAATAATCTTAAGTTATTGTTACATATTGATATGAACCTTAACACCAAAGGAATAGCCCAAGAAGAATTATCTCATATTGCCTTTTTCTTATGTTTTAGTGTGTTCTATAGTTGTAATAATGTGTTTCTTATTTTAACAGTACTATCAAAAATTTTGGTGGAACAGTGAGTATTATCCCAGTTGGGGAAGCAAAGACATACATAAATGGAAAACGTATTTTGGAACTCACAGTATTACATCATGTAAGTGGTTGGGTGCTACAATATAAGAAACTGTTTGACTTTAGGCAAGCCATTTAATTTCTTTGAGTTGTAGTTTTCTCTCTAAGGTAAGGGTGTTGAAGTAGATTAAGGACTTTTCGTTTCAAAACCAATTTTCCTATTAATTGCTTTCTTTTGTGCAAAGACAGAAGTTACATTTATATGAATCAGTACCTGAAGAGCTGACCACTAGCAGTATCATTAGGTATCCTATAAAGAGCTAGGCTTTAGAATCAGACCAGATAGGGTTTAACCTTGGCTTTGCCATTGCTATGTGACATTTGGCAAATTATTTAACTAGGTGATTAAACAATATCACCCAATTCAGGACACTTTGGAGATCATTATTAATCATTACCTCAGGAGAACAAATGTCAGCAGTATGTTGCAGGCAAACCCAGATGCCCTGTGACTTTATGTATCCTGCCTTTCAGAGATAGTGAAGGATCAACAGAAATAGTAATTTGTATATATAGTTCTTAGAACAGTATCTGCAAATAGTAAGCTCTCAAAGAATACCCATTGTTATTAAGCTTTGTGGTCTTTGGTTTTCTCATTCCTAAAATTGGCATGATTATATATATCTCACTGAGTTGTTGTGAGTCGTAAATGTGATAACATGCAGTCGTGCACCTCAGGATGATGTTTTGGACAGTGAGGGACCACATATACAACAGTGGTCCCGTAACACTATAATACTGTGTTTTTACTATTTTTTTTCTGTTTAGATATACAAATATATACCATTGTGTTATAGTTGTCTACAGTATCCAGTACAGTAACATGCTGTACAGGTTTGTAACTAGGAGCAATAGGCTATACCATATAGTAGTCTAGGTGTGTAGTAGGCTATACCATCTAGGTTTGTGTAAGTACATTCTGTGATGTTCACACAACTGTGAAATCATCTAACAGTGCATTTCTCAGAACGTATCCCTGTTGGTAAGAGACATATGACTGTATATGTAATGTGCTTAATGCAGTGTTTGGTATATACAAAGTAATAAATATCGGAAGGCTGAGGTAGATGGATCACGAGGTCGAGAGTTTGAGAACAGCCTGGCCAACATGGTGAGACCCCGTCTCTACTAAAAATGCAAAAGCTAGCTAGGCATGGTAGCACGTGCCTGTAATCCCAACTACTCAGGCAGCTTAGGCAGGAGAATTGCTTTAACCCGGGAAGCCGAGGTTGCAGTGAGCTGAGATTGAGCCATTGCACTCTAGCCTGGGCAACACAGCAAGACTCTGTCCCAAAACAACAAAAAAAGTAATAAATGTTAGTTGCTATGATGTTTATGTTTATCATTAACACTAGATTATATTGAATTGTTGGGCATAATGAATTTTCTCGTGTAATTTTTTGGTTGAGACTCACCTCAAGTAGTTAATTATTTTGTGTGCTTTAGGGTGATCGAGTGATTCTTGGTGGAGATCATTATTTTAGATTTAACCATCCAGTAGAAGTCCAGAAAGGAAAAAGGCCATCTGGAAGAGATCCTGTTATAAGCGAGGGTCCAAAAGACTTCGAATTTGCAAAAAATGAGTTGCTCATGGCACAGAGATCAGAGTAAGTATTGCTGTTGATACCAGTAAGTGTATGGGAGAGAGCTACAGCAGAGTTCATCACATTTTGCCAATCTCTAGTAATTCAATCTTTGGGTGCTGGTTTCTAGTGATATTATTTTTTCTCTTGGTACATTCATTAGTTCAGCAAATATTTATTGAGCATCTATTATATGTCTCACTGTACCAAATGCTGGGGATATAAAGAGTAAGAATTGAAATTTAGCTCATGTCCTGGAGGAATTCATGATCTCAAGGGGCTGACAGTTTTAACAGTGCTATGACACCGTGCTCTGAAAGAGTCCTGCATTGTGTGGTATGGAAGCTCATGGGGGTGACACCTGGCCCTGACCAGTTACCAGCAAAGGTTTCTGGAAGATGAGAAGATGTTCTGTAGAGACGAATCCCAATAGATGATTCAAATTTAGCCAGGGAAAGACTGGGAGCGTGTACTTTTGTTTTCTTTACTTCTTGTGCCCCAGTTTTAGTTCATGCAGTATTGTAGGATTTCTGGCATAAGAACTATCCTCGTAAGCTAACTGGTAAAGTATACACAAATAAAATGCTAAAGAGTTTGTACTTTCTCTTAAGGGATAAGGAAAGCATTAAAGAATTTTGAGCAGACATGAGACACTCATAATCAGAATCATGTTTTTAGAGAGATCACCAACACTGAAATTTGGAGAATGGATTAGAGATAGAGCAAGCCTAAAACCTGCAAATACAGCTAGGAGATTATCGAAGTAAGATAAATATAGTGTGGTTAGGTAGGAAAGAAACATACAGGAGGTAATATCAACAAGACTTGATGATTAAAGAGGATGAAAGGAGGAGGAATCAAGAACTAGTTATGGGCTAGACTAACTGCTTTGTCACCTTTTAAAAAGCCTCAACCTGATTTTGCCCTTTAGAAAGAATTTTTTTTTTTAATTGAATACAATATAAATAGCACAAAATTTACCAACTTATCCATTTTTAATTGTATAGTCCAGTGGCATTAAGTATCTTCACATTGTTTTGTTTTGAAATAAAGTCTGGCTCTATTATCCAGGCTGGAGTACAGTTGGCACGATCTCAGTTCATTGCAACCTCTACCTCCTGGCCTCAAGCCATCCTCCCACCTCAGCCTCCTGAGCAGCTGTGACTACAGACACACACCACCACGCCTGGCTAATTTTTAAATTTGTTTGTGGAGATGGGGTTTCACCATGTTGCCCAGGCTGGTCTTGAACTCGTGAGCTCAAGCAATCCACCTGCCTCGGCCTCCCAAAGTGCTGGGATTACAGGCGTGAACCACTGTGCCCACCCTAGTACCTTCACATTGTGTGCAACCATCACCATCATCCATCTTCGGAAATTTTATATTATCCCAAACTGAAACGCTGTATCCGTTAAACAATAGCCATTATCCTCTCTCCCTAGCTGTGAAATCCACTAGCTTGCTTTCTTCTAATATTCTTACTCTCTTTTTCGGTAAAATTGGGAATGGATATTTATGTGTAATACAGTTACTAAAGCACTGCTTTTATTGAGAAGAAAGACTCTAAATTTAGTTTTCTATAATCATTGATTATTTTTCTCCTATATATGGAGAAGTGGCAAAGCTAATTTCATGTTTTGACATCAAAACATCAAATTATTATAAATGGCTTAAAATATATGATACAATCTCTGCCTTATCAGCTCTTGTATCATGCATTTTTAGTCATGTCAATATTTTCCTAATATAAATTAGGTTATTGATATATGAAATATAATTTTTGCTCTAACCAATGTTTAACATAAAATAACCTTATTTTGTGTTTATTATATTAACTATAATATTTACTGTACTGTTTATTATGACACCATATTTTTATATAATTCATTTTCCTTAAGCATTAGAAAAATATATTTATTTAAATGTCAGGCATCTGCAATAGTAACTAAGTTAGAAATAAGCAATTTTTTCATCCTGTGTGTTTAAATTTTGAGTGTAAAAATTGTAGAGCCAGTGAAAAATTTTAAAAACACTGTTAATAGAATGTCAGGAATTAAGTTTTAAGAAATTAAGTTTAAAAGTTTAAACTTCTGTTCAATGGAAAACTTTTCAATAGGATTAAGAGCTGTTATGATGTAGTCTAGCCCTACAAGGTCCTGTGAGCCCCTCCCTGCTGGTGTGGCGATGAGAAACTAGAAATAAAAGACACAAGACACAGAGATAGAGAAAAGAGAGTCTGGGCTCGGGGGTCCACTGCCAACCAAAGCGTGGAGTCCAGCAATGGCCCCGAGTGCCTGAACACTCTGACTTTTATTGAGTACAAAGCAGCGGGCAGGGAAGGTAGGGTCAGGTAATGGTGGTCAGTGATCGTGTCAGGTAAATCACATGTCTTGGAGACAGGGGGCCCAGGACTTTCAGGTAGCTGAGACGAGGAGAAAACCTAATGCGTCAGCACTTTTCGCATATTTGTCAGAAATGTCAAGGACATTAAAATTCTGTTACTGTTATTAATTCTTATCTTCTGAGAAAAAGAGAAACCAAGTGCAGAAGCGGAGCGTGAGAGTGGACATGGAACGTGACCACTGAAGCACAGCATCACATAGAGACAGTTAAGCCCCCTGATATCTGTGGGCCTCCCTGACCACCATCAAGCCTTACCACAAGAGCTTGGAGAAGCGGAGTTTTCTTTAAACTTCCCCAGGAAGGAGATGTCTTGGCCGTTTTGGACATCTCCTTCTCTAGCTGGCTAAACAGCGGGCGCTTTCCCAGCGCTGGTGCTGCCCCACAGCCAAGGCGCCCTCCAGCAGTCCTTATGTGGGCATGACAGAGAACTTAGAGCAGCTTGCCTTAGGATCACTTTGTTCACAATGTCACCTCAGTTCCATGCTTCATAACCCGATAATTATCAGTAAAATTAAAGGTTATATTGAGTATGTATCTTTATGATTATAAGTGAGTAACTTTAAGATTATATATGATTATATAAAGGAATAACTATGCGCCTATATTTCTAATTCTTTTTTAAATCAGTATTTACGTGGGAACAGGCTCAGGCTTCAGACCCTTGCCATGGCACTTGCAGGGTTTCCCCCCCACATCATGATATATAAAGAATTCTTAACATGTACCCTGTCAAAATCTTGCTGCATTGTAGACTCGAAGCAGAAATGAAAGAGGCACAGTTGAAGGCCAAGGAAGAAATGATGCAAGGGATCCAGATTGCAAAAGAAATGGCTCGGCAGGAGCTTGCCTCCCAAAGAGCTGTGTATGAGACCAAGATAAACGCGCTGGAGGCAGAACTGGTAAAAGGCAGAATTTTTTTTTTTTCTGACAGCGTACTCCAAATGATGGGCTGCCTGTAAAGTTGATCATGTCCCTGTAAGGGAACTGGGGGAAGATCAGAGATGAGTGATTCAAAGCCACAGTGAATCTTTGTCCTTTTCATTTTTACTTTAAGAAATAGTTGGGGCTGGGCATGGTGGCTCATGCTGTAATCTCAGCACTTTAGGAGGCTGAGGCAGCAGATCACTTGAGCCTAGGAGTTCAAGACCAGCTAGGGGCAATGTAGGGAGACAGGTCTCTCCAAAAAGTTTAAAGCAATAGCTGGACGTGGTAGCAAGCACCTGTAGTCCCAGCTACTCTGGAGGCTGAGACAGGAGGATCATCTAGCCCAGGGTGGTCAAGGCTGCAGTGAGCCTTGACAGAGTATGACCCTGTCTCAAAAAAAAAAAAAAAAGAAAAAAAAAAAAAAAGAAAAAGTGATACTAGACAATGGCTACTGGAAGAAGAAGAAAAACAGAAACTTCTTTCTTCTAGCCACTTGAGTCATGGCTGCCTCCATGACTGGAACATGTGTATTCCAATTTACTGGAAATTGTGTATTCCAGAAGCCCATTTTAGAGAATACTCTAAAGAGTTTGACTAGTGATATTTATTTTTAGTTAACCTGAATGAAGTGGAGAAGCTCTAATAGGGTAGCTTTTCTATTAGTGAGTAATTTCTTGTACATTGATTAGAGAAAGGGATTTTTATGCTTTTTTGCTACTATTTTTGTCTGAGTTATTTTTTTATTATTGTTCTTTAAAGAGAGAAGAGTCTCAAAGGAAAAAAATGCAGGAAATAAATAACCAGAAGGCTAATCACAAAATTGAGGAATTAGAAAAGGCAAAACAGCATCTTGAACAGGAAATATATGTCAACAAAAAGCGATTAGAAATGGAGACTTTGGCTACAAAACAGGTAATTTCATTGTATAACCAGTTTGCTCTATTCTGGAAAAAGCAGGTTTGTTTTTTTGTTTTTTTTTTTCCCTTAAAGAAGTTGTTTATAGTATGTTGACAGAAGAGAGCCAAATTGGGGTTTGTAGATGTATAGATGAGAAAAGTTATTCTTGCCTTATATCCTTATATCACAGATCTGCTCACACACATCACATAGAGATTTTGAAAGAGACAGACTTGTTATTTCCAGCTAGTTCCACTCCAGTTTTCTCTTTTTACGCATCTACAACTATCTGGTCATCAGTCATGCCAAGTAGTTTGAATAAGTGAAATAGTACTAGGGCACATAGAGGAAAGAAGAAAGGCACAGCTCCTTGTGCCGGGGTCACATCTTGATGTCACAGTGAAACATCTGCCTGTGGAAAGAGCAGCAAGCAGGCTGTTTCCTAAAAGAACTCACAGTATGGCATTTGTTACCTCAATCTTATGAGCTCAGGCACCTCTCACAGGCCACCTCACCCTAATCAATTTCACAAGCCTAAGGGATAAAACCAGCGTGTTAATAGCTTCAGGCACCTTACTGTCAGCATTTTTGGTCATTATTTCTATGAATGGTTCTTGAAGTGTGGTCCCTAGACCAGCAACTTCAACATTACCTTGGGAACATGTAAGAAATGCAAATTTTTAGGCCCCACTCCAGAACTTCAGCAGAAACTGGGAGTGGGTCACAGAACCTATTTTAAGAAGCCCTGTGGGATATTCAGATGAACTCTTAAGTTTGCAAGCCACTGTTTTGATTCCTTATATCTTAATCTTTATGTTTTACTCTCTCAAATGGCAATTTTACTTCTCTTTTTTTTCCAAGTTTGTGGGGTCGAGGAAACTAGGGTGGGAGTTAGGGTGGAAGAAAATACTCCTAATAATTGTAAAGTATTGGTACCATAATACAGTTACTATACATCTGCTAGTCAACTCCCAGACACAAAGTGGCTAGTGAATCGCCTTAGAGAGTTTTAGGAGAAAAACATAGACCTGTTTAAATCTTGAAAAACAATTATTATTACTGGGCATGTAATACTTATTTGTGCTAAAGTAGATTTCTTGTGTCTTTTAAATTTAAATTCTTTATTTAGTCAACAAATGTTCTTGGGTATGGCCTTTTTTTTTTTCTTTTTAAAACAAGTTTGTTCTTTTTTCTTCTTTTTTCCCTGCTTTGTTGGGTTTTCTTATTTTTAATTTTTTATTTCAGCAGCTTTAGGGGTACAAATGTTTTTTGGTTACGTGGATGAATTGTATAGTGGTGAAGTCTAGGATTTTAGTGCACCTGTAACCTGAGTAGTGTACATTGTACCCAATAGATAGTTTTTCATTCCTTGCCCCCCCAACCCTTCCTCTTTCTGAGTCTTCAGTGTCCATTGTATCGGGGTCCCCAACCCCCTGGGCCACACAGTCTATGACCTGTTGGGAACCAGGCCGCACAGCAGGGGCTCAGCAGCAGGCAAGCAAGCATTACTGTCTGAGCTCTGCCTCCTGTCAGATCAATGGCAGCATCACATTCTCATAGGAGGGTGAACCGTATTGTGAACTGCACACACTCCACAATTTAGGTTAGACACTCCTTATGAGAACCTAATACCTGATGGTCTGAGCTAGAATCGTTTCATCCTGAAACCAACCCCTGCCCCACTGTCCGTGGAAACATTGTCTTCCACCAAACCAGTCCCTGGTACCAGAAAGGCTGGGGACTGCTGCTGTATACCACTCTATATGCTTTTACATACACACAGCTTAGGTCTCACTTATAAGTGAGGAACATGTGATATTTGGTTTTCAATTCCTGAGTTACTTCACTTAGAATTACTGCCTCCAGTTCCATTCAATGCAAAAATTTCATTCTTTTATGGTTGCATAGTATTCCGTGGTGTGTGTGTGTGGTGTGTGTGTGTGTGTGTGTGTGTGTGTGTATCACATTTTCTTTATCCACTCATTGGTTGATGGACACTTAGGTTGATTCCATATCTTTGCAATTGTGAATTGTTCTGTGATAAACATATACATGCAGGAGTCTTTTTGATATAATGATTCATTTTCTTTTTTTTTTCTAGTTTTTTTTTTAACTTCTATCAATGGGAAGAAAAAAGATTAATTTATGTCATCAAAAATCTCTAATCATATTGTTGTGGGGAAAAATTATTTTATAAGGAAATTTTATAAATAATTTTTAAAAGCTTATTGTGTTTAATAAAACACATAAAACATGTTAACTAGGCTGGGTGCGATGGTTCACACCTGTAATTACAACGCTTTGGGAGGCCGAGGCAGGTGGGTCACCTGAGGTTGGGAGTTTGAGACCAACCTGACCAACATGGAGAAACCCTGTTTCTACTGAAAATACAAAATTAGCCGGGCGTGGTGACTTGTGCCTGTAATTCCAGCTTCTTGGGAGGCTGAGGCAGGAGAGCTGCTTGAATCCAGGAGGCGGAGATTGCAGTGAGCCGAGATCATTCCACTGCACTCCAGCCTGGGCAATGAGCAAAACTCCATCTCAAAACTAAAAAAACAAAAACCAAAAAATCATGTTAACTATATAGGCTTAATAAAACATGTACTATAAAATGAGGTTTGCTATAGTGTGTTATTATCAATCTGGTGTTTTCTAAAATAGGCTTTATTATGTATATTTAAGTTAGACAATGTTATGAGATATAAAAATGGTAAAGTGGTTACTATAGTGAAGCAAATTAACATGTCCATCATCTCAATATGGTGTTATAATTTCTCTATTTGCATATTCTCACTCGGGGGTCTGCATGAATGAATATCAATTAGGCTTTAGAAGATCATAGCATCCGCCATGCAAGAATTCTGGAAGCTTTAGAAACTGAAAAGCAAAAAATTGCTAAAGAAGTACAAATTCTACAGCAGAATCGGAGTAATAGGGATAAAACTTTTACAAGTGAGTGTATGCTGATTTTAGTAAATATTTTCTAAAATTATGCATGTTTTTATATGTAAATAATTACTAAAATGTTAGCATTAGTTGCTTTTATGTATTCAAACTATTTTCTTCTAGTTGTTAACTTTTCTGGATCTACGTAAATTTGTATGAGTGGTTGTTTTTGAATATTCAGTTTTTGGAATATTTATTGTATCAATGCTTTAGACTGAATGTTTGTGTCCCCCCAAAATTTATATGTTGAATTTATAACCTACAAGGCAGTGGTGTTAGGAAGTTGGGGGCTTCGGTAGGTGAGTAAGTCATGAGGGTAGAGCCCTTATAGAATTAGTGCCCCTATAAAAGAAATCACAGAGCATTCCCTCACCTCTCCCACCAAGTGAGGACGTAGCATGAAGACGGAACAGGGCCGTCACCAGGACCTGACTGAGGCTGGAACCTTGATCTCAGACTTCCAGGCTCCTGAACTGTGAGCAATAAATTTCTGTTGTTTAGAAGCCACCCAGTCTGCCAATTTGTTAATAGTACTGCAGCTGAGCAAATAGTAAGCAAAATTTCAATGTGCGGCATGTTCTGGTTTCTTTTAAAAATCTTATTCTAATTCTTAATCCTTGTTTTGATGTCTGTTAATAGTTGTGCTTAATCATGGAGCACTTTATGTTTTTTTCACTTGGACATTTTTTTCTTAAGAGATCATTTTTTCTAGCTTTACTGAGGTATAATTAACAAATAAAAATTATGTGTATTTAAGGAGTACAACATGATGTTTTTAATACATTGCAAATGATTACCAAAATCAAGCTAGTAACATATTTATCACCTCACCTAGTTTTTTTGTTGTTGTTGTTGTTATGAGGACACTTAGGATATACTCTCTTATTTCAAGTATACAATGTAGTATTAATAATTATAGGCAATTTTCTGTACATTAGACCTCCAGAGGGTATTCATCCTGCGTAACTGAAACTTTGTACCCTTTGACCGACATCTTCCCATTCTCCTGTCCTGTATTTCCTGGTAACCATCATTCTACTCTCTGTGCCTATGAGTACAACATTTTTAGATTCCACATGTAAGTGAGATCATATAGTATTTATCTTTCTATGTCTGGCTTATTTCACTTTTGGTAGTGTTATTAGAGTTTTCTGCATGTAAGATCATGTAATCTGTAAACAAACAATTTTACTTCTTTCTTCTCAGTTTGGATACCATTTATCTCTTTTTCTTGCCCAACTGGTTTTGTTGGAACTTCCAGTACTGTGTTGAATAGAAGTGGTGAGAGTAGGCATCCTTGTCATGTGCCTGATCTTAAAGGAGAAGCTTTCAGCTATTTGCCGTTGAAGATGTTAGGTGTGGGCTTGTCATATATACCCTTTATTATGTTGAGGTACATTCCCCTATACAGTCTATCATAAAAGGATGTTGTATTTTGTCAAATGCTTTTTTTGCACCTATTGAAATGATCATATGATTTTTATCCTTATTCTGTTAATGTGGTATATAACCTTTATTAATTCGTATATGTTAAACCATCCTTGCATCCCAGTGGTAAACCCCACTTGATCATGGTGTATGATCAATGATCCTTTTAATGTGCTGTTGGATTTGGTTTGCTAGTATTTTGTTGAAGATTTTTGGATTTGTGTTTATCAGGGATATTGGCCTGTATTCTTTTCTTGTAGTGTCTTTGTCTGGCTTTAGTATCAGAATAATGCTGACCTTGCAAAATTAATTGGAAATGTTCCCTCCTCTTCAGCTTTTTGGAAGAGTTTGAGAAGGATTGGCATTAATTCTTCTTCTTCTTCCTCTTCTTCTTCTTCTTCTTTTTTTTTTTTTTTTTTTGAGTCAGAGTTTTGCTCTTATCACCCAGGCTGGAGTGCAGTGACGCGATCTTGGCTCGCTGCAACCTCTGCTTTTCAGGTTCAAGCGATTCTCCTGCCTCAGCCTCCCAAGTAGCTGGGATTACAGGCACCCGCCACCGCACCCAGCTAATTTTTGTATTTTTAGTAGAGATGGGGTTTCACCATGTTGGTCAGGCTGGTCTAATTCTTCTTTAATATTTTGGTAGACTTCACCAGTGAAGGAATTAAGTCCTGTGAAACTTTTTTTTTTTTTTTAAAAAAAAGACAGAGTCTTACTCTGTCGCCAGGCTGGAGTGCAGTGGCACGATCCTGGCTCACTGCAACCTCTGCCTCCCAGGTTCAGGCGATTCTCCTGCCTCAGCTTCCTGAGTAGCTGGGACTACAGGCACACGCCATCACACCTGGCTAATTTTTGTATTTTTAGTAGAGGTGAGATTTCACAATATTGTCCAGGATGGTCTTGATCTCCTGACCTCGTGATTCACCTGCCTCAGTCTCCCAAAGTGCTGGGATTATAGGCATGAGCCACTGTGCCTGGCCCAACTTTTTTTTCTTTTATCTTTAAGTCTTCTTGTTGTTGCCCAGGCTGGAGTGCAGGGGTGTGATCTTGGCTCACTGCAACCTCTGCCTCCCAGGCTCAAGCGATTCTCCTGCTTCATCTTCCCAAGTAGCTGGGATTATAGGCATGCATACCATGCCCGGCTAATTTTTGTATTTTTAGTAGAGACAGGGTTTTACCATGTTGGCCAGGCTGGTCTCAAACTTCTGACCTCAGGTGATCTGCCTGCCTCAGCTTCCCAAAGTGCTGGGATTACAGGTGAGAGCCACCATGCCTGGCCAAGTCCTGGGAGACTTTTGATTGCACTTTTTGGGAGTACATTTCTATGTAAAACATAGCATGTTTTCAATATAAACTTTTTTTATTATGAAACATTTTTAACAAACTAAAAAAAGAGATTGCTGAAGTAAGCCCTTATATATTTATCCGACTTCAATGATTATCAACACATGTTCAGTCTTGTTGCCACTATCCTCAAACTCTCTGCTTCCCTGGACTGTTTTGAAGCAAATCCCAGACATCATATCATTTAAGATGTACACACCTCACTGCATATCTCTAAACTAGATAAGGATTCTCCTTTTGCTCTCCCCCTCTCTCTGTCACTCTTTTAAGCATTGCCATGATACTATCACATCTAACTATATTAATGATAATTTCTTATACATCACATATTTACTCCCTATTCAAATTTCCTGGATTGTTTTATGCTTTTTTTTTTTTTTTTTTTTTTTTTTTTTTTTTTACCAGTTGATTTGTTTGAATCAGGATACCAACATGATCTACACATTGTGTTTGGTAGATGTGCATTTTAGATCTCTTTTTTTTTTTTTTTTGAGACAGAGTTTCGCTCTTGTTACCCAGGCTGGAGTGCAATGGCGCGATCTCGGCTCACCGCAACCTCCGCCTCCTGGGTTCAGGCAATTCTCCTGCCTCAGCCTCCTGAGTAGCTGGGATTACAGGCACGCACCACCATGCCCAGCTATTTTTTTTGTATTTTTAGTAGAGACGGGGTTTCACCATGTTGACCAAGATGGTCTCGATCTCTTGACCTTGTGATCCACCCGCCTCGGCCTCCCAAAGTGCTGGGATTACAGGCTTGAGCCACCGCGCCCGGCCTTAGATCTCTTTTAATCTGTAAATTCACTCTTCTATTTCATCTAATAATTTGTTGAAGAAATCAGATGATTTGTCCTGTAGTTTCCTGGATTCTGGATTTCGCTGACTGTGTCTCCCTGGTATTGCTTAACAGGCTCCTGTGTTCCAGTATTCTCTAGAAAGTGTTAGTTGGACCTACAGGCCTATCATATTCAGGTTCAGTTTTTAGCAAAAATACTTGGTAGGTATGTTGTACTTTCTGTAACTTCTTTAAAATAACTTTAAAAATATTAATACTCTTTTTTTTTTCCTTTGAGACAGAGTCTTGCTCTGCCACCCAGGCTGGAGTGCATTGGAGTGGAGTGGTGCGATCTCGGCTCACTGCAACCTCTGCCAGCCAGCTTTGAGCAACTCTCCTGCCTCAGTCTCCAGAGTAGCTGGGACAACAGGCAAGCACCACCATGCCTGGCTAATTTTTGTATTTTTAGTAGAAATGGTGTTTCACCATGTTGGCCAGGGTGGCTTTGAACTCCTGACCTCAGGTGATCTGCCTGCCTCAGCTTCCCAAAGTTGTGGGTTTACAGGAGTGAGCCACTGCATCCAGCCAATACTCTTGCCAGAGAGAAATACTTTTATTCTTCTGAGGGCCTAGACAGAGCATTACAATGGTTACTTGATTTTTTTTTATTCGTGTGAATAATGAGTATATCCTGCCAAAAAGCTATTTTTAGTGGAGAATTGGTTATAAGTTTCCATGAACAATATAGACAATGTTTACGAAAAAAATCTATTTTTTTTTTTTTTTTGAGACAAAGTATTGCTCTGTCTCACATAGGCTAGGGTGCAGTGGTGCATAGTTCACTGCAACCTCAAACTCCTGGGCTCAAGTGATCCTCTTGCCTCAGGCTCCCCAGTAGCTAGACTATAGGTACATGCCATGTCACCTGCCTATTTTATTTTATTTTATTTTATTTTTTAGAGATAGGGTGTCACTAAGTTGAAGGCCTTGAACTTCTGGCCTTCAAGTGATCCTCTTGCCTCAGCCTCCCAAAATGTTGAGATTGTAGACATGGGCCACTGCGCCCAGTCAGAATCTTAAATTCAAATTAGGAGCTGGGTGCGGTGGCTTGTGCCTGTAATCCTAGCACTTTGGAAGGCTGAGGCAGGCAGATTGCTTGAGCCCAGGAGTTCAAGACCAGACTGAGCAACATGGTGAAACCCCATCTCTACAAAATATAAAAATGTTAGCTGGGTGTGGTGGCATGCACCTGTAGTCCCAGCTCCTTGGAAGGCTGAGATGGGAGATCACTTGACCCTGGGAGCTCGAGGCTGCAGTGAGCTGTGATTGAACCACTGCACTACAGCCTGGGCGACAGAGTGAGACTTTGTCTCAAAAAAAAAAAAAAAAAAAAAAGGGAAAGTGAACTTGTGCACCAAATTATTTTCCTTTTTTACTTTAATATTCTGACATATATATGTGTGTGTGTGTATATTTAATTTTTAGACAGAATACAAAAGAATGTGATTCTATATAAGTAAGGCTATAGAATACCCAGTACTTGAAAGAATTTAGAAATGAGAAAGAAAAAAGATACCAGAAAAAAAAATCTTCATAGATATTAGAAAGAATATAATTGTCTTTGACTTATCTTTTTTATGTCAACTAATTTTCTTATATATTTCCACGAGCAAAAGACCTCATTTTATAGGAAGAATGTTTTATTTCACCTAATTACTTAAGTATCACTTATCCTTCTGCAATACAGAGTTAAAACCATTCATTTAAAATCAGAAATTTGTTTTTTTAGAAATTGGTTTGCCTAATTGTTAGTGCCCATGTATGCATTTTGAATCTTTTCTATGTGCTTTGTATTAGTGCAGACAACTTGGAGCTCCCTGAAACTCTCAGTGATGATTCAGGAAGCCAATGCTATTAGCAGCAAATTGAAAACATACTATGTTTTTGGCAGGTGAGTAATTATCCTGATTATACATGTTTTAAACAAGTTGGCCTTTGTGTCATGTAGTTTCTCTAAAGCCCATTCTACAACTGGAGAAACTCTCAATGATGATTCAGGAAGCCAATGCTATTAGCAGCAAATTATAAAACTTACTATGTTTTTGGCAGGTGAGTAATTAATTATCCCAATTATAAATGTTTTAAACAAGATGGCCTTTATATCATTTAGTTTCTCTAAAATCCATTCTACAGCTGTAGGAAAGAGCTGATTTCAGAATCCCCAGTGAGAGCTCATTCTGGAGTAAGAGAGATTTCAACAATTAATATACTAGTATATTTATAAATAGAATAATTTTAGTTGTTTTAGGAATTTGCTCATTTTTTTTTTGAGCTGAAACATTAGGCTGAGGCAGGAGAAGCGCTTGAACTCAGGAGGCAGAGGTTGTAGTGAGCCGAGAGCACACCATTGCTCTCTAGCCTGGGCAACAGTGCAAGACTCTGTCTCAAAAAAAAACCAGTTTATCAGTATTCCACTGTTCAAAAGGAATTTTTTAATCAAAAATTAGAATTTTTGATTAAAAAATTTTTTAATGTTTTTTTAATATGGTATATACTTATATGATTATTACTATAATAAAAAAACTGGAAAGACTTAATCAGTGGACACAATTTTTAGGGAAATTCTACTCTAGAAAACTCTTAGTATAAATGGATGTGTATGTTTCAGGATAATCATTTTTTGTTTGTTTTTCTTTCAGACATGATGTATCAGATAAAAGTAGTTCTGACACTTTTATTCGGGTTCGTAACCTAAAACTAGGAATCTCAACATTCTGGAGTCTGGAAAAGTTTGAATCTAAACTTGCAGCAATGAAAGAACTTTATGAGGTTTGGAATATTATTAAAATCTCTATAAGCTTTTTAAAATAAAAAGGTATAAAAGTTCAAGTATCTGCTTTTTTCATATATAAAAGCGACATATTCTCCATATAGAAAATTTGGAAAATAAAAGGCAGTCTGTCACTTCCCAAATCAACCAGTATTAACAATTATATTTTTACTTTTGCATTTAAATGGAGTTTTATTGGGTTGTTTTAATACAGTCATAGGCATAATAGAGAAATTTAATAGCTGAATCTATTGTTATAATTGTATATTTTTAAAAGTTTTACATTTAAGTTAAGGAAAGAAGAAGTTTGTTAGACATAAATCACATTACATCATTTGAAATGATCTTCCTATGCCTAATACACGTTTTTGCGTATTTACATTTCTCCGTTGCTGTGCTTTGTGCTTCCAACTGTCTACTGCCTATTATAGTCACAACTAAAAACTCTGTACATAGTAGTTTTAAATATCTTATTTTCCCATCTTTTATTTTCCAAAATGAAACTAAAAATGTGAATACACTTTGATGCTCACCAACAAATTGCTTGCCAGAAATATTGTCATTTACCAATGTTACTAATTTGCATTTTACCGGTGTGTGTGTGTGTGTGTGTGTGTGTGTGTGTGTGTGTGTGTTTGTTTTAATAGAGACAAAGTGTTGCTATGTTACCCAGGTCTTGAACTCCTGGCTTCAAACAGTCCTCTCATCTTAGCCTCTCAAAGTGTCAAGATTACAGGCATGAGCCATTGTGTCCAACCTGTATTTTAATAACTAGTAAATCTGGCAATTTGACTCTTGTTTCTTTATGGGTAAAGCATGTGTTCATGCCCTTTGAATTTTTTGTTAAATGAAATGCAGGAAATTAGCTAATACAGCTATAAAAGTTAATTGATAAGCCTTTATATTTTTCGTATACATTTTTTTTCCTGATTATATCATCTTTTTTTGGTTTCATTTTGTTACGCAGGCATTTTTAATTTGGTAAATTTGAATCCATCTATTATTCCAGAGATCTTACTGAAACATTTTACAATCCCTGCATTTTCTTTTAATTAAAAAACAAAGTTCACATCTTTGAATCACATAAAATTTATTATGGTGTTTTGTAAGTGGTATGAATTTAAAGTTTATGTCATTATCTAATTGTCCATAAAATTATCCCTAAAATAGTTGCAACATATATTAAATTGTTGCATTGCTACTATTTGTCAAATATACTACCTTAAAATAATGTGACTCTATATGGAACTATATACTACTTAGATCGTTATAGTAATGAAGGTATTATATGGAAGAACTGAGAGGATGCTGCCAAATTGTAGCCTAACACTTGGATTGTTTAATGGAAAAATGAAAATAAAAGAAAACAATTAAACTCATTTTATCATTATAAGATAAAAGCAATAATGAATTAGAAATTAATAAATGTAAGTTCTTATTCTTTGAAAATATAAATGTGATTTTAGAAATGAGAAGTGGCATTTAAGTAAACATAAAGAAAACGTTTAAAAATTATATTACCTATAAAACTTTATGCTAATAAATTTGACAATTTCCTACAAAGAAGAGACTTTTTAAAACAAGATAAATTATGAAAGTTGACTTGATAGGTGAATAACCATGCAGTAATTTGAAACGTTAGTCAACAGACTGCCCTCAGGGGGGAAAAAAAAAGTGTAGGAAGGGAGGTGATAATCTCAGACACTTTTATGAGTAAGCTCTTTTAAATTGCCAGAGAACAGGTAAATCTTATTCTGTTTAAACTGTTCTAGATTAAACTATTCTAGAACATAGCAATAAATAGAAAGTATCACAGTTTTGTCTTATGATAGAATAACTGATTAAAAACAAAACAAGCAAAAACCACAAAACTGAAAAGATGACTCAAATGAGAATTACCAACCAATCTTTTTTTTTTTTTTTTTTCGAGACAGAGTCTTGTTCTGTCACCCAGGCTATAGTGCAGTCATGGGTCTGGGTTCACTGCAATCTCCGCCTCCCAGGTTCAAGTGATTCTCCTGCCCTCAGCATCCCAAGTAGCTGGGACTACAGGCACATGCCATCACGACCAACTAGTTTTTGTATTTTGAGTATAGTTGAGGTTTCACCATGTTGGCCAGGTTGGTCTCGATCTCTGGACCTCCTGATCCTCCTGCCTTGGCCTCCCAAAGTGCTGGGATTACAGGCATGAGCCACTGCACCCGGCCTACCAACCAATCTTAATATGAACACAGCTATAAAAATTCTAGAAGAAATTTTAGCAGGGCCGGGCATAGTGGCTAACGCCTATAATCCCAACACTTTGGGAGGCTGAGGCTGGAGGATCACTTGAGCCCAGGAGTTCACGACCGTCTGGGTAGCATAGTTTTTGTTAGTTAGCCTGTTTGTTTTGAGATAGAGTCTTGCCCTGTTGCCCAGGCTGGAGTGCAGTGGTACAGTCTTGGCTCACTGCAACCTCCACCTCCCAGGTTCAAGCGATTCTTGTTCCTCAGCCTCTTGAGTAGCTGAGATTACAAGTGCATGCCATCATGCCCAGCTAATTTCTGTTTGTATTTTTAGTAGAGTCGGCATTTCACCATGTTGGCCACACTGATCTCAAACTCCTGACCTCAGCTGATCTACCTACCTTGGCTTCTCAAAGTGTTGGGATTACAGATGTGAGCCACCATGCCCGGCCAACCGTTTCTTTTACAAAAATTCTAAAAATTAGACAGATGTGGTGCTGTGTGCCTGTAGTCCTAACTGCTTGGAAGGCTGAGGTGAGAGGATTGCTTGAACCTGGAAGGTCAAGGCTGCCTTCTAATCCCAGCACTTTGGGAGACTGAGGTGGGAGGATCACTTGAGCCCAGGAGTTTGATACCAACCTTGTCTCTACAAAAGAAAAAAAGAGAATCTTACACCATGAAGAAGTAGGGTTTATGCCAGAAACGCAAGGTATAAGAGAAAATCCAAAAAGGCTGAAAGGAATCATACCAAAGTATTGACAATGTTTATGCGTAAATGATGGGTTTATGAGTGGTTTTAATTTTTTTCTTTGTGTTTATATGTATTAATAATTTCAGCCTGTAATCCCAGCACTTTGGGAGGCTGAGGGAGGGTGGATCACGAGGTCAGGAGATCGAGACCATCCTGGTCAACACGGTGAAACCCCGTCTCTACTTAAAATACAAAAAATTAGCTGGGCATGGTGGCGCGTGCCTGTAATCTCAGCTACTCAGGAGGTTGAGGCAGGAGAATTGCCTGAACCCAGGAGGCGGAGGTTGCGGTGAGCCGAGATCGTGCCATTGCACTCCAGCCTGGGTAACAAGAGCGAAACTCCGTCTCAAAAAAAAAAAGAAAAAGAAAATAATTTCAAAATTTTCTACAATTAATATGAATTGTTTGTGTTTTTAGAACAACAAAAGCAGTATGGAGGTCATTTGATTATGCTTACCTTGATACATACTTTAAAACCTAGTTGTTGGATTACCCTAGGTTTAACTTACATCCTGCTTTTAACCATTCATTGCAATTGTTTTAACTCATTTTTCTGTGTAATGATACTGTCTCCGAATCAAGTTCTATGTAGCATTTTGGTAGAATTGTACTTATTACTTTAAATATATAAAATGTGGATTATAATCCTGATCAATATATTCAACCAGGAAGTGATTATCTCTTAATTTTGTCAGATACTTTTATGTCTCGGCTGAGGATTTTATTGTTTGTGTTTTTATTATTCTTATAAATTCCAAGTTTATTATTCCTGAATTACTTGATGATTTCTATTGTTTTTATTAAAAGTAGATGTCTTTTAATATCCCCATCATCATATGATTGATTTTTAATTTGATCAGGAATGATTTTTTTAGACCTATCAGATAATATATATAATCTTGCTAATTTTATGGTTTAAATGTAACAAAGGATTTAATCTTTTTTTCTTAGTTGCTAAACATTTTTCACCCCAAATTAACTGAAACTGTATATTGTATTTTTCTTAGAGTAACGGTAGTAACAGGGGTGAAGATGTCTTTTGTGATCCTGAAGACGAATGGGAACCCGACATTACAGATGCAGCAGTTTCTTCACTTTCTAAAAGGAGGTAAAGACATTTTTGTTACTGGTTTTCTTGCTCTCTCTCTCTGTGTGTGTGTGTGTGTGTGTGTGTAAATTGTATTATTTTAAAAGAACTATTGTCATGATAGATATATCTGGACAAAGAAACCAGAAATAAAAAAGGAATAGTATGTTTATGGTCATTATAGCACTTAGGGCATTAAATGGTTTATTAGTCAGTTATAAGATAAACCAAATTTTGTTGTTTCATCATGTAAGTCTTAAGGGCAACATAGGGTAGCACAAATTAAGTTTTCCCTAAAAATGAGTAGTATTTATTACTTTTAAATTACCTTTCTCAAGAACTTGGCGTCTTCTATAATATTTTCTTTTAAGTTACAGAATTTTAAATGCAGTGAAGTTAGTATGAACTTTATGAAAGAATAAATCATGGTGATAGACCACTTCTATATATAACAAATGTTGCTTATTAACTCGATACATAAAAGACTTCCATGGTGAATAATAGATGCTTTTCAAGGAAAAACTAGTTCCGCTTAGACCTCAGATGCTTAGATTATATAGAGAAGCAAAATGGTATCATGGAAAGGCCTTGGAGCCAATTTAGCCTCCTAGTTTGGTCTGGTTTTTAAGCAAATGTTTCTTTGATGACTACTGTCTGCCATGCCCTGAGGAAGCAAAGATGAATACAAACTATCCCCTGTCCTGAAAGGCCAGGAATTGAGGAAAGCAGAGGCAGGAGCAGCTGACCAAAACCTGAACTGAGGCTGGACAGAATTTTAAATGCAGGGAAGAGGAAAGTCGAGTTTTCTGCTTATTCAGGCTGCAGAATCAATAGGATGTGGAGACTGGCTATGGGGCTGAAGGTGTGAGGGGTGCAAGGATGTCTCCTGGTTTTAAATTGGGTGACTGCCAAGGGGGAAGTGGTGTTGCCTGAGATGGAGCATAAGAGGAGTTTAATTTTAAATACGAAGAATTCGAGGTATTCTCAAGGGACATCCAGGTGTATATTCAGGTTTAGAACTTTGGTGGATGGAGCTGGGGATTTTCAGGATATAAGGGTCAATAGTATTCATCTGTCAGTGGAAGCATTGTTGTTATTAACAGCATTTATTAAATACTTACTAAGCCTTGTCTCAGCTAGTACTCACCAGAAACTATGAAGTAGATATTATCATCACCCTCATTTTACAGATGAAGAAACTGAGAATTTAGAGACGTTAAGTGATGTGTGCAAAGTCACAGCACTGATAAAAGGAAGAGCTGGTACTCAGATCTGAGTTTGGGTGACTCCAAAGCTCCTGATTTTCTTAATTGCTATGCCATATTGCCTCTTCATTGCATATGAAAGAGTAGCATCCTCTATTTAAGCGAATTGTTTTATGTTTTCTTAAACCTCATTGCCTTTAGCTGCAGATCAGGATCCATTTGGGTTTCTTTTTTTTTTTTTTTTTTTTTTGAGATGGAGTTTCACTCTTGTTGCCCAGGCTGGAGTGCAATAGCACGATCTAGGCTCACCGCAGCTTCCGTCTCCCAGGTTAAAGCGATTTATCTGCCTCAGCCTCCCAAGTAGCTGGGATTACAGGCATGGGCTACCACACCCGGCTAATTTTGTTAGTAGAGACGGGGTTTCCCCAGGCTGGTCTTGAACTCCCGACCTCAGGTGATCCACCCGCTTTGGCCTCTCAAAGTGCTGGGATTACAGGCATGAGCCACTGCACCCAGCCTCCATTTGGGTTTCTAAATCGTTTTAGGCCTATAGCATTGTTTTTGACTTGGCTTATTTTAAACTCATTTATAATTTTCCTTAAAGAGTTGAAACTATTTTATGGCAACTTTCCCCCTATTATTTCTGCTTTGTCACATGCTAACCTCTAAGCTACAATAAGAAATTGCTAACACATAATAAGCATTATTCTGAATGAAATGCAATGTTTTTCTTTTACACAGAAATGAGCTCCTTGAGTGTAGGGAACATGTCTGTAAAAAGGTCACAAGCTCTGTTATCTGGGTCCTGAGTTCTAATCTATGTGCAGTGTGGTCATGGACAAGTGACATTACATCTCTAAGCTTCAGTTTTCTCATCTAAAATGAAGACAGTCATATATACCTACTTTATAGGGATTTATCATTAAGATTAAATGAGGTCCTATGTATAGAGCATCTGCTGCTCCTGCTATGTCTACTGTGACCACCATGACTGACAACATGGGACTGATGATCATGTTGCAGTTGTTACAAGGATTAGAGACAGTACATATAAAGCTCCTCTTACAGTGGGTGGGCATTCAATAAATGGCAGCTCTGATTATTATTGGATGCTTAATATATATTGAATAAAATTAAATCTTAGAATACAGAGAAGATATGGTTTCTGTCCAATACTGGTAACAGATGATAGTATCTTCAAGTGATTTGTCTTGAGGACTTGACAGAGCTGGTCTCTGGCACTGAAGTGAGCTAAAAATGATCCTTAGGTGAAATTGGGTAGATAGAGCTTGAGATATTTAAGCCAACCTAGAATAACATAAACCTCGCCAAAATTTAAACCAAACCAACAAATTCATCAGAGAATGATTTATGACTATCTTTGGATTTTAGGATTACTAGTGTTGTATTTTTTTTTTATTATAAACAGATTTAAACTTTGTATATTTAGAAATGTAAATCACGATATGATCATTGATAATTAATGAGCATTAAACTTTTAGCCTACTGAATGTTGGTAATTTACATCTTATTTTCTGTTAACTTTTAAGTAATAATAGGAAATTAGCAGAAGTTTAAAATGTTATCAAAAATCAAAACATCTCAATATGTTCTAAGATTTTGAAATTGGGTATTTTCATTTGACAGAGATTTTTGGGAACTTCTATAATTTAAAAGTACCATATTTTTAAAAAATGAATTGCTCTTAGTCTGAGACCTTGTATATGAAGTTTCAGCCTTGTAAGAATGTTTATGACAGAATTCCAAACTCTTGAGAATACCTGCAGGTAATGGAAACAGTGACAGATTCTTAATTATAGAACTTCTACTGGGCAATGATATGCCACAGTTGTTCTGCAATAAAATAGACTGGTTGGGCTCCCTATAAATTTTGATATATACTGTTGACAGTTAAAAGTAAATTTCCTCCTGAGGTTAGGTAAAAGCTCTTTGAAAGGAATATGACAAGCATTTTATTTGGATTTAAACATTGTTTAACTATGATATTGTTGCAAGAATAACTGTTTTACTAGTTTAGATTTGCTGTAATAATAGTAATTATATACCCTTTTTCACCCCAGTAGAAAAACTGTAATATTTGAGAATTGATATTTTCTTTCCCTTTTATCAGTCCTATTTCTGTGTGTGTGTGTGTGTGTGTGTGTGTGTGTGTGTGTTTGTAGGAGTTCATGGGGTCAATTTTATATTTGAAATATTTAGGCTGCTATTGATAGAATGCTTTGGCTTAATAATCTTTTCAACAAATAGTATTTTTCTTTGAGTGGCCAACAGTAGTAGAGAGTTCTGTTAGGAAAAATGCTTCAAAGGATCCACTCAATTTAGATTTAGATCACTGGTTGAGTAGTTTCATTGACATAGGAGTTAGAGTTTGGTTTTAGAAAATTTATAGATGAATGTCAATATAGAGGTAGGCTGCTTTCTCCAGTGGCAGAAAGGGTAGCCTCTGTTTTCAAGAAGCAGACAGAAAGAAAATAACACCTTAGACAGTCAAGCAAACTCAAAGCAGAAGTGGGACATTTTTACATGCTGAGAAAAAAGAGGTCAGCAAAAAGAGCAATTGGAGATAGAAACATTTCTTCCATTTGTACAACTGCTGCACTTCACAGGTATTATGCTTTACACACAGTGTAGCAGATGCTTACTTAAATGTTTGTTTACCTAAATCACATCCCTGTTTAAAATCTTTCCTTGAAACATTGAGTACACATGGACACAAAGAAGTGAACAATAGATACTAGGGCCTATTTGAGGGTGGTAGGTAGGAGGAAGGTGAGGGTTGAACAACTGTTTAATACCATCAGGTATTATGCCTGTTACCTATGTGACAAAATTATCTGTAGACCAAACCCCCACAGCATGAAATTTACCCATGTAACGAACCTGCACATGTATCCCTTAATCCTAAAATAAAAGTTGGAGAGAAAATAAATAAATCCTAACTTGGCCACTTAAAAAAATAAGATAAAATCCTTCTCTGGATAATTTGCTCAGGATAAAATCCCAGCTTTATTGACATACAAAGACCACCTCAAGCTGGCCCCTGCGCATCTCCCAGCCTCATCCCTTGCTGCCCTCTCTCTTACATCATGGGCGGCAGCCCTTCTGAACCTTGTTTGGTTCTGGGAATTCATTTATCATCAAGTCTTCCTTCCTGTTGCTTGTGTCTGAGACACTATTCCCTGCTTCCCAGGCCTGCCCTCTGGCTTTTACTCATCCTTGAGGATCCCTGCTCCAAGGAGGCCCCCCTGACTTCTTGGGCCAGGTCAAGTTCTTTTATAGAGTCTACCTCAACACTCTATGCCTTCATCACATTCATCACTTTATTGCAATTATTTGCCTAATTGATCTCTTTTGTTCTGCCTAGGACAGTGCCGATAGACAGTAAAATTCTTTTTTTTTTTTTTTTTTTTTGAGACGGAGTTTCGATCTTGTTACCCAGGCTGGAGTGCAATGGCACGATCTCGGCTCACCGCAGCCTCCGCCTCCTGGGTTCAGGCAATTCTCCTGCCTCAGCCTCCTGAGTAGCTGGGATTACAGGCATGCGCCACCATGCCCAGCTAATTTTTTGAATTTTTAGTAGAGACGGGGTTTCACCCTGTTGACCAGGATGGTCTCGATCTCTCGACCTCGTGATCCACCCACCTCGGCCTCCCAAAGTGCTGGGATTACAGGCTTGAGCCACGGCGCCCGGCTGACAGTAAAATTCTTACTCAATTAACCAAATGAATTTTTCCTTTGATGAAAATTTTTAATGAAAAACACATATGAATGTCCATTTTCTTAGAGAACTTATAAATATTCTTAATATTTATTATCCCATGTGGTATAGCACTACTAATCTTATGGTTTGTCTTTTTCAGGAGCAGGAGTTTGATGAAGAATAGAAGAATTTCTGGTTGTTTACATGATATACAAGTCCACCCAATTAAGAATTTGCATTCTTCACATTCATCAGGTATTTTTTTTTCCACATTTTTTGTATAATGAGAAAAGCATTAAATCCTAGCTTTACCGTTAATTTTTTTTTTATCCTTGTGCAAATCATTTCATTTCCTGGAAGCCTCCATTTCCTCTAAAATGAGGAGGTTGGATCAACAGTCCCTTCCGCTTCAAAAATTCTGTGCTCTGTATAATTTATTTCAGAGTCTTTTAGTAGAGTAATTCAAATGTGGAAGACGTGTATGTTCCAAAATATATGAGAATATTACTTCCTTATAAGTGAAAAAAAGCAAAGTGCAGCAGATTATGTATTATATTCTATCATTTGTGTGAGGAGGAGAAAAAAGAAGATGTGGACATAGATGCTTGTAAATGAATAAGATCTCTCTGGAGAACTACACCAAAACCCCAAAGTGCTGGTTGTACATGAGAGGGGGGTTAGGGACAGGACAGGAAGGAAGACACCCTTTTCACTGCAAACCCTTCTTCTGAATTTTGTATAATGATCTATGTATCATCTACCCCAAAATTATTTTATTTTTAAAGTTAAGGAAGTATTCCTCTGAATAATTATTTTGTGCCAATACTTATTATAATGTTAGTTTATCTGTAGAAGGAGAGGATACACTGTAAATTTTGTATGGTGTAACTACCTTTAATAATTACAATTTAAATACTACTACCTGCCAGGCCAGGCTCAGTAGCTCACACCTGTAATCCCAGCACTTTGGGAGGCCAAGGTGGACGGATCACCTGAGGTCAGGAGTTCAAGACCAGCCTGACCAAGATGGAGAAACCCTGTCTCTACTAAAAATATAAAATTAGCCGGGCATTATGGCATATGTCTGTAATCCCAGCTACTTGGGACGCTGAGGCAGGAGAATGGCTTGAACCCAGGAGGCGGCGGTTGCAATGAGCCAGATTGCACCATTGCACTCCAGCCTGGGCAACAAGAGTAAAACTCTGTCTCAAAAAAAAAAAAAAAATTACTACCTGCTAACAATAGACTACTATGTAACAATGAAGAAGAGGGAATGACTGAGTCACACAAAACCTGGATGAATTCCAGAAACATAACTGAGTGAAAGAAGCCAGATCCAAAAGAGTACATACTACATGATTCCTTTGATATGAAGTTCAAGGACAGGCAAACTAAACCATGGTGACCAAAGCCAGAGTAGTTTAGAATTGAATAGTGGTTACCTCTGTTGGGAGTTACTAACTAGGAAGAAGAAACCTATTGAATTGGGATGGGATGGTGGAAATGTTGTATACAGTACATTGAGCTAAGTGGGGGTTACAGATGTATGCCTATATTTAAAAAATCCGTACACTTAAGATATATGCACTTTACATATACTTAGTAAACAATAATTTTAAACTAATTACGTAACATAATGTATTTGATAAAGGTCCTGATGGAATATGAGGGCCGTAAAAGGTGTTATATCTCATCTTGACTTTAAATTTTAGAAATTAGAATTTCTTTCAGTAAGATAATTATGATCCTACTACTTATTTAATCTAAGGTAGATTAAAATATGCTGTGGGTTTTTTATTACTAGCAAAATAAGATGTATATCTGTGGTAACAACTTATTTATTCAGTATTATTTGAGTAGATATTTTACAAAAATAATTTTAAGGAAAGTCAGAGATAGAAAAGGTCTTTGCTTATTTGCAGTTTGCAAAGACAGAAATGGAAACCCACATGTGAACTTAGTAGTACCCCATCTGGGCAGCTGGGAGTGGTGGAAAGGGGACCAGGCCTGGGAGTGAGGGGCTGTACCCCACCATCTAGCACTTTCCAGCTTTGGGAAGTTGAGCAACTATCTTAACTTCTAAATTAAGGACCGTATTTTGCCTGTATTTTTGCAGGTCTTTCTAAAATGTTTTTGTTGGATTTTGGAATACATTAATACAATTATCTTCTTAAATAGAGAATATATTTAAGAATGTAATAATAACTGTTCTCAATGACTGTGATATAGTCATTATCATCATAATGATACTGAGTCACCGTTACTGTACTGTAGCTTTGGGTTTTGTAGCTTTTCTTTTTTCTCTTTCCAAACCAAACTCTTACTAGTTCTAGTTTTTTTTTTTAACATCCACCACCCTATGCCTTTATTCTACCTCCTTTTAGTTTGCTGCTTTTAGACATCTATAAAGTGGACCAGAAAACTTAATCTTGCCTTAAATAAGAATCATTATACTCATATATTAGCACTCCAGGATAAGGTTATTTCCAGGGGCTCTGAATGAGCTCTTTGAAGCTTTTCATTTACTCCTGGTTTAGACAGTACTTAGAAAATCCATTTCCCAGAGATGTGCTATATTAACTGTATATAATCAGTTGGTTTTAGCCATCTTGATTGTAATATAACTTGAGGAGGAACTATTATAAAGTAGAGGTACTGAGACATTACTGTTGTTTGTTTGTTTGTTTGTTTTTGAGACAGAGTTTCACTTTTTGCCCAGGCTGGAGTGCAATGGCGGGATCTTGGCTCGCTGCAATCCACCTCCTAGATTCAAGCGATTCTCCTGCCTCAGCCTCCTGAGTAGCTGGAATTACAGGTGCCCACCACATGTCCAGCTAGTTTTGTATTTTTAGTAGAGACAGAGTTTCACCATGTTGGTCAGGCTGGTCTCGAACTCCTGACCTCAGGTGATCTGCCCAACTTGGCCTCCCAAAGTGCTGGGAGCCACCGCGCCTGGCTGAGACATTACTTTTAATATAGTTTATCATTGTTTACTTTTCCAGTTTATGGATCCAATTAAATTTCTAATTTTATTTTCTGTAACTGTCATTGGTTTCATCAGTTACAGTTCTTCCAGTGTTAGAGAAAATTAATCCCACTAGACATAGTGGCACATGCTTGTAGTCCCATCTACTGTGAAGGCTGAGGCCAAGGGATTGCTTGAGTCCGGGAGTTTGAGGCTCAGTGTACTGTGATCACGCTTGTGAGTAGCCACTACATCCCAGCCTGGGCAACATAGCAAGACCCTGTATTTTAAAAAAGAAAGAAAGAGAGAGAAAGAAAGGAAAGAAAATTAATCCCTACCAAAAAGTAAGAGATTAAATCAGTGGTTATATGGGATATATGGATTCTCTCGTCTCATAGTGCAGTCGAGAAGCTACTAAATCTATGGATTGATGCTACTGAGAGGTTAATTGATCCCTGCATGGAATTATAGTTTTCACTTTGGCATATAGAAATCAAGCTGAATTGAAATAAGTATAGCCTACTTTGAATTTATTGATCAGTGATCCTATAATATTCTTGCATTAAAACATTTGTTTGAAAGTATTATGCCTGAACATTTTTGGAAGAGAAATAGCAACAGAGGGGTAGTTTCTGCAAAATTAACATTATGGAGCACCCTGGAAATCAACATATGCAAGTACTAGCATGGAAGATATACTTTCAAGTATAGCATAGCATATGGTGTTGTAGATACTAATATTTTTTTTCCTAATTCCACAACGAATACAAAAATGCTTTCTTGTTGTAATACATTCAAATAATACAAAAGTACATAAAGTAAGGATCTGTTTTTTTTTTTTTTTAAAGTATTATTCCTGAAAAACAAGGCTTAAAATGACTATTTTCTGTTGATGTAGGTTTAATGGACAAATCAAATACCATTTACTCAAATTTGGCAGAGTCATTTCTTCCTGGAATTTGCAAAGAATTGATTGGTTCTTCATTAGATTTTCTTGGACAGAGTTATGATGAAGAAAGAACTATAGCAGATAGCCTAATGAATAGTTTTCTTAAAATTTATAATGGGCTACTTGCCATTGCCAAGGCTCACGAAGAACAAGATGAAGAAAGTCAAGATAACTGTAAGAAATCCCACTGCTTTTGTTAACTCACATAAATAATTATTTTCTGCACATTGCACTTGGTTTTGAATGATTATTTGGCACATCTGGCATGCATCTTTTAACTGTGTCAAAATGTTTTAATATGATCGTATAGGAGTTATTTTATTTGGATATTATTTCTTGTCCTTTCAAAGTGTTTTCTTCTGATCGAGCAACCCAGGCACTTACTATTCAGACTGCATGTGCTTTTGAGCAGCTAGTGGTGCTGATGAAACACTGGCTGAGTGATTTACTGCCTTGTACCAACATAGCAAGACTTGAGGATGAACTGAGACAAGAAGTTAAAAAACTGGGAGGCTACTTACAGTTATTTTTGCAGGTAAATTGATTTGCTTAGTATCATTTGAAGGATTCATTTGTTTAATAATTATTTATCGACTTTTTACTCTCTGTATCTTCCCCCAAATTAGCTCAGTATGATTTTCAAAAGTACATTCTGTTTTGAAGTCCTGAGACAGTGGACATCTGTAATTGATTTATTGAACAAAGACTTAAATGGCTTTCTATGTACGAGTAGTCCTAAGTGATTTACAAATATTAACTCATTTAATCCTTCTAACAACCCCAGCATTGGGCACTGTTGTTATCACCGTCTTGTGGATGAGGAAATGGAGGCACAGGGAAAATAAATATTCCATCCAGTGTTACCTAACTAGTAAATGACTGAGTTGGATTTGGACCCAGGCAGTCTTGGGCCCAGGTAATGCTCTACCATTATACCATGCTGGCCCTCAAGAAGGGATACTGGGAAGAGAGACAGAGTCTTGCTCTGGGGATGGGATTGGGTTTCAACTCATGCTGAATTGGCCACATTCCTGCTGACACAGAGACAAATAATTTTGTTTTCCTGCTTGTCTTGTATCAGATAAGATTAGGTTTGGCTGTGAGAAGTAAGATAAAAGCTATTCTCTCTCACATAAAATCTAGAGGTAGACCTGGTGACTCTGCTCCAGAGTCCTCAGGATCCAGGTTCCTCCCAGTACTCCCCTCCACCATGCCCAGAGTGTAGCCCCTGATTTCATGACCCACCATGGAGGAGCCCACCTGAGCTCAGTGCAGTGAGGTGGAAGAAGTGGTGCGAAAGATAGGGCCAAGTTTGCCTTCTTTTAAGGGAAGTTTCTGGAAATCACCATATGCCACATCTATTTATATATCTTTGGCTAGAACTTTATCATTTGACTACATCTGGCTGCAAGTATCATGAGGAAATGTACTTTTTTGTTGTTTTTTAAAATTCTGGGCACTTATGTGCCTAGCCAAAAAATCAAGGGATCTATGAAAGAAGTGGAAAATTGATATTGGAGAATACTTAGTCATCTACAAAGTAGCAAATTCCTTCATAAAAATTCCTTGAATGTACAAAAGGAGCAGATAAGAAAATAATGGCTGAGTACAGTGGCTCATGCCTGTAATCCGAGCACTTCGGGAGGTTGACGCAGGAGGATCAGTTAAGCCTAGGAGTTTGAGACCAGCCTGGGCAACATAGTGAATAATAACAACTATCCAACTTGTTGGATACTCTGTCTCTAAAAAAAATGTAAAAAGAGTTAGCCAGCTGTGGTGACGTGTACCTGTGGTCCCAGCTACTTGGGAGGCTGAGGTGGGAGGATTGCTTGAGCCCAAGAGGTCAAGGCTGCAGTGAGCCATGATTGCACCATTGCACTCCAGCCTGGATGACAGAGTGAGATCATGTCTCAAAAAATAATAATAATAAAAAAAAAAACAATTTTAAAAAGAAAATGTTAACAGGATTAGATTTCACTTTTTAAAAAGGATAATTAGACTGTATAACAAAATGTTCTAGAACATTTGGACAAATTTTATGTTATAGTGCTTACCAAAAGACTTTCCATATTCTGTTATTGCCGTAGAATTTTTGTTGTGTCAAATACTTCCTGAATGGGCTAATTACTAGCTGGGATATGGAAATCTTGAGCCGATCTAACTAGTAAGCTTGAAATCAGATTATTGTTTTTAATGTCCATTATTCTCCCTCAGGAGGATTTTCTAGGTCTCCCCAAGACTTGGTTGGGCACCTGTCTTATTTGCTTCTCTAATAACCCTGAACTTCACCTGTTAGGCCTTTTAATATAACATGTATTTTATAAGCCTGTACATCTCAATAGACAGTTAGCTCTGAGAAGGTAGAGGACTGTGGGTGTCTTTTTTCACAGGGCCTCATATGATAGATGTTTGGTTGGATACTTGTTATTAAATTAATTATAAATTCATATGGGATGAAGGATCACTTTGGATACAGGTAATGAGGAATTAGGAATGACTAAGACGGCGGGTGAGGGGGAACGGTGGACTGCAAACAGGTGTGGATGAGGTAGTAGATGAAGGAGAATTTCTGACAGCATAGAACCATGAAAATGAAACGTAGGATTGGCCAGAGAGCAGAGCTAGAGAGCCAGAAGCGAAGGGTGTGACTTAAGTTTGAGCCTAGAAAAGGAAGCTTGTTGAAGGATGGCCAGTGCTCAGTTGGCTCTCAGCTTTTAGAGGCAGTACTAGAATAGTGGCAGAACACACACAAAACAAAAGCCCACTAGTGGCCCTTGAAAAACTGATGTTTGAACCCACAGTAAATTAGTTGTATGCCCTTGGGCACACTGCTTAAATGTTTGAGTCTCCTATTTCTCACAGGAAAATAAATTTAGAAATGCCTACCTGGCAGGATTGCTGTGAGGATCAGATGAATTAATGTTATAAGAATGTATCTTGGCCGGGCACCGGGCATGGTGGCTCACACCTGCAACCCCAGCACTTTGGGAGGCCAAGGCAGGTGGATCACGAGGTCAGGGATTGAGACCATCGTGGCTAACATGGTGAAATCCCGTACAAAAAATTAGCCGGGTATTGTGACACATGCCTGTAGTCCCAGCTGTTCAGGAGGTTGAGGCAGGAGAATCGCTTGAACCCGGGAGGCGGGGGTTGCGGTGAGCCAAGATCCTGCTACTGCACTCTAGCCTGGGTGACAGAGCAAGAGTCCATCTCAAAAAAAAAAAAAAAAAAAAAAAAAGAATGTGTCTTTTAGAGTAACTGGTGTATAGTTTCTTTCCTTCTGAGAAGAACACTTTGAACTGAACTTATGGATTTCAACTCATATCCCTCTGAGAAATGTCTTATACAAGGAATCAAGGATGGAGAGAACCGGTGAGTTGGAGCGGGAGTTAGATTAAGCTAAGGAGAGACTTGTGTTAAGCTAGCAAACCTGAATTTAGTGACTACACTCTCTAAGTATGGTTTGAGAATCCTTTTCTTACAGCAATACAATTAGCATATTCCACAAAGCAGGCCAAGAGAAGTATTTTGAAGAGACACCATAGGGGGCGGGTAACAGAAAGAAGAAAAGCTCAAGAGAGGCTTCCTCATTCCTTTTTTATATGTGTACTCTGAGTGCATGTGGGAAGTCTTTTGTTTGAAGGTGTTTGGGTTTTCCTCCCCCCCACTTTTGCTTCCCGCCCCCGCCTCTCTCTCTCTCTCTCTCTCTCTCTCTCTCTTTCTTTTCCCTTGAGAAAATAATGTCTTTACTAACTGTCAGATGGTTATCAGAACAGGAAAAGTTCAAAGACCAAAAGAACCACTCTTTTTTTTCTTTCTTTTGGCTTTCACTTATTAATTCTGTCTTATATATAATTAATTTTGTACTTACCTTATGTGTTATTAGTGTGTAAGGTCTTTGCGGGTGGAGACTGTATCTTACTCATTTTATCACCTTTAGTAGCCACAGGGCTGCATGTTTTCTGATTCTGACTGAGACATTTACGAAGTGAGATCACCGTATCAATAAACGCAGAACTTATTTTCTCCAGATCATTCTCCTCTTTTCTTTTCTTTTCTTTTCTTTTTTTGAGATGGAGTCTCACTCTGTCACCCTGGCTGGAGTGTAGTGGCACAATCTTGGCTCACTGCAACCTCTGCCTCCTGGGTTCAAGCAATTCTCATGTCTCAGCCTACCGAGTAACTGGGATTACAGGCACGCATCACTATCCCTGGCTAATTTTTGTATTTTTAGTAGATACAGGGTTTCACCATGTCGGCCAGGCTGGTCTCAAACTCTTCACCTCAGATGATTCACCCACCTTGGCCTCCCAAAGTGCTGGGATTACAGGTGTGAGCCACTGTGCCCGGCCCTTATCTCTTCTTTACCACCTGTTATAATCTCATGTATCTGATATACTTGTCCATTTTTATCTTACAGGGATGCTGTTCGGATATTTCATCAATGATAAAAGAGGCCCAAAAGAATGCAATCCAAATTGTACATCAGGCTGTGAAGTATGTGGGGCAGTTAGCAGTTCTGAAAGGGAGCAAGCTACATTTTCTGGAAAACAGTAACAATAAAACTGCCAGCGTCCAGGTAATTTAGCAATGTTAGTTTAGAGAGACTTCATCTAAGGGAACATTAGACTTTTGATAATAGTATAGTATTAAACATGACAAGTTCTTTTTGAATTTTCAAAATAGCTTGTACTTTTAGTAGTTTTTCTGTAAGATTTAAAACATTTAGGCCAGGCGTGGTGGCTTATACCCATAATCCCAGCACTTTGGGAGGCCGAGGCGGGTGGATTGCTTGAGTCAGGAGTTCGAGACCAGCCTGGCCAATATGGTGAAACCCCTGTCTCTGCTGTGAAAATATAAAAATTAGCCAGCCATGGTGCCCCATGCCTGTAGTCCCAGCTACTCAGGAGGCTGAGGCAGGAGAATCACTTGAACCCAGGAGGTAGAGGTTGCAGTGAGCTGAGATTGCACCACTGCTCTCCAGCTGGGTGAGAGAGTGAGACTCCATCTCAAGAAAACAAAAACAAAATAAAACAAAAAAATCTGTTTTAAATATATTGGGTTATCTTACAAACCTTATTTTACCTTTCAGATCCTTAATTTGATGCTAGCCATCTACCATGGAGGGTTTTCTCAGCCATTCAACACATGAAAAACTCTGAAATACTAGATAATTTGTATCTGCTTGCTTTCACTATTTATGCTGTTGAAAACATTGTATTATGTTAGAATGTTACTGTGTTCTGGTGGTAACTCATGCCTGTAATCCCAGCACTTTGGGAGGCCAAGGCAGGTGTATTACCTGAGGGTAGCAGTTCAAGACCAGCCTGACCAACATGGCAAACCCGGTCTCTACTAAAAATATAAAAATTAGCCAAGTGTGGTGGTGCGCGCCTGCAATCCCAGCTATTCGGGAGGCTGAGGCAGGAGAATAGCTTGAACCAGAGAGGTGGAGGTTGAGCCGAGATCATGCAATTGCACTCCGGCCTGGGCGACAAGAGTAAAACTTTGCCTCAAAAAAAAAAGAAAGACTGTTTCTGTGTTCTAACAATACAGAGCCCTGCTTAAAGATGATAAACATTCTTTATAATATGTTATATATATATGTTAGATATGAGATACTAAATCATGTATTTGCTAATTTTATTTCTTTATAGGCTACATATTGTTCTTATTCCAGCTTTAGTTGAACTTAATAAACTTGGGATGTATTATAGTCCTAAAGTAAGCAGGAAATATAACTTAATTACTTGATAATTTAAAATCTATAAAATTTAAATTTAAATAAATTAAAATATATAAAACCTAAATTTTCTAGTTAATGCTTCAATACTTTTTCTAGGAGGAATTCATGGATGCTATTTGTGATGGTGTAGGCTTGGGAGTGGAAATTTTATTAGATTCTGGACTAGAAAAAGCAAAAGAACTTCAGCATGAACTCTTAAGGCAATGTACAAAAAATGAGGTAAGATGAATAAAAGAATATTCCATATTATTCCACTAAATAATGTATGAAGTTGATTTTTTGAAGCAACAAATTAGATTTTTATAAATTCATATGTTTTAATTTGTTTTGAGTTATTTTTCACTGAGAGGCTGTCATCATGATTTTATGGTGATATTTTCTCAAGTTCTTCTTGAATCACTGCAGCCTCTATTGTTAATAGTTTGCTTGGTCGTGTTGCAGCTGTTAGGAAGAATCCTTCAGTCTGTAAACTCCGAAGCAGAGCGCAGAGTGCGGTAGTGACACCTACTGTTCCCTTTCTGGTTGTCACGTTCTTCCTTAGCTTTGTTTAGGCCTCTCTTTTTCTAAGAATGGAAACTATTAGTAACATTTCTTAGTTCAGTATCTTGAACTAAATATTTTTCCAGGGGCATTCACATAAGATATTTCGTATCAAGATACAGATCAATCAAGGATTTCAGTGATTTCCTAAAATGTGTTTCCTCCCCTCCTCCAGCTAACATTGCTTAGTACCTTAGGCAAGATCTGGGTTTTAATATTAGAAGACTTGTATTTGAAACCTGGTTCTATCACTTTCCCCTTATCATTTAGCAAGTCACTTGATGCTCTGACCCTGTTTCCTTCCCTGTCACATGTAAGCATACTTACTTACATCACAGGCTGTAAACTATTTGTTTATTGATTCATTTCCTCAGACAGTTACTGGACTAGGTGCTTTACATGTAACAGTGGTAAATCTTGGCCATTTCTGTAATGGATTTTTACTTTGTCAGTAAGAAAAAGCCCTATGAATATCATGTTTCATATTCATGTCACTTTTCAAGGTAGGAATTAATATTCATTGAATTGGAGTATTTTGCCTAATTACCCAACTGTTAAGCCCTGAGCCAGGATTTTATATTCTGCTTGACTTCAAAACTCATCATGCTACATAAATAAATTTTTAAAATCATTGTTCATGGATAAATTTTCTTTATTGACAATAACTATTAGTGAAGTGGGGATTAGGAAGATAAAAGTTCAAATTCTTATGAGACTGAATTTCAGAGACTTGTCTGTTCTAGAGTCTTGTGACAACATATTAAAACCATTCCTGGCCAGGCACGGTGGCTCATACCTGTAATCCCAGCACTTTGGAAGGCCAGAGCAGGAAGATGGCATGAGCCCAGAGTGTGAAACCAGCCTGGGAATCATAATGAGACCTCATCTCTATGAAAAATACAGAAATTAGCCAGGCCTGGTGGCGTGCACCTGTAGTCTCATCTATTCCAGAGGCTGAGGCAGGAGTATCATTTGAGCCCAGGAGTTCAAGGCTGCAGTGAGCTGTGACTGCACCACTGCATACCAGCCTGGGTGACAGAGCAAGACCTTGTCTCAAACAAAAACCAAAAACTATCTCTGTTTATTCCATTTCTCTTGCTGGAGTCAGGTGGCTGGGGCAGTGCTACCTGAGGACATTTAGGTGTCTGAGATCTTAGCTATTAGGTTCCTGACATCTTAGCTGGGAACATTTAGGTTCCTGAGATCTTAGGATGTCCCCTCATTTACATACATATTGATTGATCTAGAAAAGTAGATCATGTGGAGTACTGTTGACTTCTGTCCCTCTGTGTCATTGTTTCCGGAAAGGCATGGAGTAAGCTAGTTTTTTGTTGTTGTTGTTGTTGTTTAGTAAAACCTTGGTATTAATGTACTTCTAGCTCATCTTAGCTGAGGTGAAATTCTGTGTAAGCCACAGAGATTTTCCATCCCTTTGCTCATACTACAGGGCTATATAGATTTTTTTCCGCCCAGAAAAACTCCATAACAGGTTAGGAGAAAGACATGCAGCATTAAGCTGCTCTCCTACTGCCCATGTATCCTTGAACAATTTACCTGAGCCTCAGTTGTTCCATTTTTAAATCAGGATGATCATATTTATTTCATAAAATTGTTCTGAGAATTATATGAGATTAAGAAACAATATATGTGAAAATGCTAAAAATGTAGTGCCTGGCAAATCTTAGTCATTCATCTTACTTGCATGCGATTTCTTTTCCTCAGTATATGTCTGCCTTTCATTGTGTGTGTGTGTGTGTGTGTGTGTGTGTGTGTGTGTGTGTGTGTGTGTGTGTGTTTTGTTTTAAAGATAAAAACACATTGTTACTACATTTAGGAGCTCATATTATCAGTAAATCAAGCTCACGTTCCAATAGGCATGAGGCTGGTTCCGTAGTGCAACTTTGAAGGAAGGGGCATATTGGGCTGTCAGAGTCTCCACTGATGTCAGACCACCACTGACATCTCACATTCGGTTTTGCTCAGCAACAGCACCAGTTATCATGAAAACACTTGACCACTTTTGCAGCCTATCACTATTGCAAGGAATTTCTGCTGGCAGTAAGTGCAAAAGGGTATAGAATAATTAATGAAAAGTGTAGATGAAATAATATATGGGAATGTGCTTAGTAAGCTGTTGAAGTAGGTGCAGATATTATCCTTGGTATTGTTTTGAGGAAATAAACAGCAAAAGGGCCAGGCCCATTCTGTATACAATTTACACTGTCTGCACATCTTCGTTTCTCTTGTTTTCTTGTTACAGTATGGAGAAGCTGTGCTTTGTTACTCATGATAGGGTTTTAGTTTATCTATTCTTGTAAGTTAAAACTCCTCTAAGAACCTATAGAAGAATAATAAATCCAAAGAAATAAAAAATAAGCTGAAACATAAAAAGCATTGGAGCCACAATTTTAAAGCTGGAGTCAGGAAAGAAAAATAATTTGGATATTCTTTTTTTTTTCTTTTTTAACCACATAGAGCAAATGTTAATTAAAGCCAGGGAGGAGCTCTGTGGGTAAAGCCAATGAAATCCTGAAAAAGAATCCCCTGGCAGAACTTGAGCCGGACGGCACCTTAGGGGGCAGCATTAGACAGAATAAAAGCGACGGCTTAGAATTTAGATATGGGCTTCCACCCTCATTCTGTCTTAGGAGTTAGGAACCAAGGTCCATTCCTTACTTATGAAATGAGTTGTGCCATGAGCAGCACAGGACTGTAATGGAGACTCAAATAACAAAACATTTGTGAAGTTGTTAGAACATGGTATTTGCTTGATATGTTATCCCCATTCAAGGGAAATTTTAGAAGTTTCATACCTATAAATGTTTAAGTATAACACAAATTCTATTATTATAATAAACATTAGCGCAGGCATCCCCAAACTACGTCCCGCGGGCCGCATGTGGCCCCCTGAGGCCATTTATCCGCCCCCCCGCCGCACTTCAGGAAGGGGCACCTCTTTCCTTGGTGGTCAGTGAGAGGAGCACGGTATGTGGCAGCCCTCCAACGGTCTGAGGGACAGTGAACTGGCCCCCCGTGTAAAAAGTTTGGGGACGCCTGCATTAGAGGGTGTCCATATTTAATACAGAAATCAATGCGCAGTTTATTTTGAAAGAAATTATTAGTGAATACAGATGAATTAGACTGATTATTTTCCCAAGTCACAGGTAAATAGAAAATACAGATAAAATATATGATCAATGTGTTTAAAAGGAGAGTAATTGCTTTGTCTTGAAATTTTTTATGAAATAAAATGAATGAGATTATAAAGTTGACATCTTAAAAGTGAAATAAACTTGTTTGGAAAGAAATGAATGTGCAATTTATCTTGGAAGAAATTATACATATATGATTTAAGTAACTTCAAGCTATTTAATTGCAAGCCCAGAAATAGAACTCTAGCCTTTGGGCTTCTAGACTAGAACTCTGTAAAAGTCTGGTCCCATGCAATTTGGTGATTTTAATATTTCTAAATAATAAAGTATAATAAAATATTTTAACATTTTCTACAGGTTACCAAAGAAATGAAAACAAGTGCCATGGGATTGATTAGATCTCTTGAAAACATCTTTGCTGAATCGAAAATTGTAAGAGAAGCTTTAAACTGATTTTGTTTAATTTGGATTATTTTTTATCATTTCACTTGGTTCAAATGTAGATATTTTTATTTCAGTTTTTAATCTGTAGCCAGAGACAACTCTTGCATATGTTTAATTGTAGCATGTAAGATAGCTCTTTATCTTTTTGTGTGTCATAACTTACTATTTTTAATAACAGATAAAGGATTATATAGAAATTTATTAATAAAATCTGTTTCTTAATGCCACTGATTTAGTAACTATCAGCTTTTGCTTATATGAGTGATCATTATAGACTAAAAAATCGTGTTTAATCATCATTGTGCTCAAAGATTTTAAAATACAGGTGAATTAGATTATTCACATGTCTAATGGTAAAGAGAAAAAGATAACTAAGTATATGATTAATGTTTTAAAAAGGAGAGTAATTGCTATGGCTTGAAAATTTTTATTTAAGTAAGTGAGAACTATTATAAAGTTGAGCTCTTAAAAATGAAGTAAATGTAGCTTTTAAGGTATTGGATAATAAATGGCACCGTTGCTTTATTCCATTCTCATGTAATAGATGATAGACTTTGAAAATGTAATAGAAAATTCTGATTTCTTTTTAAAACAGTAATTAATATTGTACTTTGGTCTTGCTTATAAAAATAGAGTTAAGCACTGGAAAGGAAATGAAACTCTCTTAAAGAGAAGATTCTGGCAATTGAAGTCATATTGACTAACCCTTACTGCCGTCGAGCCTGTTAATGTATTATTTTAAATATTAACTTTATTTATACAGAAAAGTTTCAGAAGGCAGGTACAAGAAGAACACTTTGGATACCAAGATTTCAAGAAGATGGTTAACTGTGCTCCAGAATTCTTAAAGTTACAACATTGCTTAGAGAAAACTATTGAAGTTGTTATTTCTGCACTGAAAGGTATGTTCTCCAAATGGAGTTTTAATCAGAATTTTATATTTTAAGAAACCTTAGACAGCTTTCTTTTTTGTTTTTCAGACAGAGTCTTGCTCTGTCACCAGGCTGGAGTGCAGTGGTACAGTCTCAGCTCACTGCGGCCCACCTCCTGGGTTCAAGTGATTCTCCTGCCTCAGCCCCCCAAGTAGCTGGGATTGCAGGCGTGCACCACCACACCAGGCTAATTTTTGTATTTGCAGTAGAGTTGGGCTTTTACTACATCAGCCAGGCTTGTCTCGAACTCCTGACCTGAAATAATCCACCCACCTCAGCCTCCCAAAGTGCTGGGATTAGAGGCATGAGCCACCGCGCCTGCTGACATCTTTTCTTTTTATTTCCAGCCTTTTTGTTTTTGTGGTCATTAACAAAAGCCTACCCAATGCTACTTCACTGATATTAGTTACCAATATAGGAACTTGTATTGATAATTAAATTTCCACTTAATACGTATGTCAGTACTTCTGCCTAAATAATTAGATCCTGAAAAACCAGGTGCTTACCTAGCAGATAAACACTTTAGTTGACTAATCTTAAGTAGTTTGGAACTGTTTTGATAGGGTCACTTTGACTTGAAAATGTGATTAACTTTTCCCTCTTTCTCTTGCATGTAGGATGCAGTGGTGACGTAAATCTTCTTCAGAATTGTGTTGAAAGTATTTGCAACTTGGCCAGTGATTTTTACAGAGACCTCAGTGTGCCCTCTACTTCTGTTGACAGCCATGAGGGTAGAGTAACTCACGTTGTCCACAAGGAACTAGAATCTCTAGCTAAGTCTCTTCTCTTTTGTTTTGAATCTGAAGATAGACCTGATTTGTTGAAACCCTGGGAAACTTATCATCAAAATACCGAAGAAGAAAACCAACAATCTAAATCAAGTGGGATTGACGGCAGTAAGAATAAAGGTGTACCAAAGCATGTCTATGAACTCCATGGCTCATCCCCAGCAGTGAGCTCAGAGGAATGCACACCCAGTAGGATTCAGTGGGTGTGAATGTTGACATGTAAGCACTTTTATGACCACCAGGGTATAAAGAGAAATCAGTACAGATATTTCAAAAAAGTCCATGTCTTTTTATCTTTAAAATATTTTTTTATCTTTAAAGTGTTTAACATTGGTATACTAGCTGTGGTTGGTTCATTAGTCTGTTTATAAAGGGTTATTTTTTCATGAGTGGAAACATGAACAGTTATCTTTGTGCCTACGCCTTCTCTCTCCTGCAAACAACTTGGATGACGTTTACGGTGAAATGGCCTATACAAGTTTAACTAAGGCAGCTTAACTTGCATTGTTAATCAAACTCTTTTCTCAAAGGTTTATCTAGTTGCCATTTTGAATAATATGCTCAAGGGTGTAGCTTCCTGTTTCTCTTCGAATTATAAGTAGCTACCTAAATGTAGTATAATTATATATTATTAATAGGGTTTGCTGGCATAATAGCTTACTGTGTTATCTTTGTTCCATTATGGGGGCTGTATTAATATAATTTAAAACTAATTAAATGTTGCCAGAATCATACTCAACTGTCGGACGAGGTTAGGAGCGCAGAGGCTGGACCTTCTCTTGATAATGCTTGTTTTGTTAAAGGCATAATGAAATAATTTTTATATGATTTGATGAAGATTAAAGATCTTTATATTCCACAGCTTCAAGAAAACCCTTTATTTATGATCAAGTAATAAAGATAATATTCTATTTGTGGGATCTTACAATAAGGAAATAGTTTGACATTTTTGACCTCAAGAGTATGTATAATTTGAAGTGGTAGTAACTCTGGTTGGGTGATTTTGAGCAGTTCCTGGAGAATAATTCATCTAAATCCTATTAATTTAAATAACCTGATCCTTTTCAAATTTGCCCTTTTCAAATTTACAGATACTACTTGTACATTTGGCATAACTAGTTGAAACTGGCCATTAGCACCATGAATAAATCTGGTAATTTCCTTGTTAGGAAGAGATTGTAAATAAAGACTGGCCACTGCAGACAGAACAGTGTTAGTGAGCCTCCTGAGGTGTGTTCAGGTGCTGTAAAATGGTACAGTGGAGCACATTTGCTTTCACTTTCTTTTTTATATTTTTGGCATTTGACCTTGTATTCTTTCTGAAGCTCTCTATGAATTTTTATTAGTCAGTACTCTGGCAAGTAGCACTTCGCCTGTCCAGTTTGCTGGAGTATAGATGTACATATGAGGATCTCCCGGGAGGTGCACTGCTTTGAAGAACTTCCTAAGGTATCTGTATAGTAGTTTGCATCTTGATATTTAGTATTTAATCTTCAGTTTCTGCTTTGTAAACTCATGACTTAGTCAGAAACTTTTTAGTGTCTTTATAAATTTTGTATATATATTTATACTAAATACATTGTTATACTGTATTTGAAGGAATGGTGGGAAAATATTTTGCTATTGGAATCATGTGTACTGACAAATGTTATAAACAGAATGCCTTTAATAAATCTTTTCAGCACTAGAATTGCCTCTTGGTCTATGCTTTTTTATTTTATTGATTTTCTTTGTTTGCTTTACTCTTCACTCAGACTAGCTCCGCCTTCATAATAGCTAGCCTAGTGTTGCAGATCAAATTAATAATTAGGAAACATTAAACAGCAACTGCGCCCGGACTGCCTTTTTTTTTTTTTTTTTTTTTTTTTTTAAATAACATTGTTCTTTCTGTCTTTAGTTGGTTAGGCCTGGAATAGATTTATCACCGTGTGCCATGTGGAAAGAGCATGAGCTTTGGAGTCTGACCTATTTTTCACATGTTCGGTGTGTGACTCTCAGCCAGGCTGCTTAGTAACACAAGTTACTTACTGTCTTCATTTCCATGCCTTCATCTGCAGAAAGAAAAGTCATACCCACCTCACGGACTGTCTGAGCATTTAGTGGGAAAAACGTCGGAATAACTCCTGGCAGGTAGTAGACTGTTACCAAATTTATTTTCTGTCCTTTTCATTACCATCTACAAAACCCTTGTTATGTATACAAGATCACACTCGGTACAGGCATACGCCATTTATAACATTCTGCCCAGGTGACAAATTGTATTGCAGTTCTTTAAACATGACATATTTGAGCCTGGCGTGGTGGCTCACGCCTGTAATCCCAGCACTCTGGGAGGCTGAGGCGGGCCGATCACTTGAGATAGGGAGTTCAAGACCAGCCTGACCAACATAGAGAAACCCCATTTCTACTAAAAATACAAAATGAGTCAGGCGTGGTGGCCCATGCCTGTAATCCCAGCTACTTGGGATACTGAGGCAGAAGAATTGCTTGAACCCTGGAGGTGGAGATGGCAGTGAGCCGAGATCATGCCACCGCACTCCAGCCTGGGCAATAAGAGGGAAAGTCCGTCTCCAAAAAAAAAAAAAAAAAGTGTATTTGAAAATATATCTTCTGTTATCATTTTGTTCCACGATAATAAATGGACAATGAAGATAATGTTACCTCACTGCCCTTAAATACGGTTAACGTGCTGTGTATTCTCCATGGAGTCCGTCTGAAAGTTTTAGCAAAAGGTGGTTTTGTCTCGTTAGCTAACTAACCTGCTTGAGTTTCAGAGCCTAACTGTGTGCCAATAAGCATTTCAAAGTTTGCCCTGAATATGGAAAGTAAGAATTAATTTATCACAGGTGAGGGGAAAAGGTGTCCATAGTTTGGTTCAGTTAAAAAAAAGTTACGGCCAGATGTGATGGCTCACACCTGCAATCCCAGCACTTTGGGAGGCCAAGGTGGGCAGATCATGAGGTCAAAAGGTTGAGACCATCCTGGCCAACATGGCAAAACCCTGTCTCTACTAAAAATGCCAAAATTAGCCAGGCATGGTGGCGGGCGCCTGTAATCCTAGGTACTCAAGAGGCTAAGACAGGAGAATCCTTTGAACCCAGGATGGGGAAGTTGCAGTGGGCCAAGATCACGCCACCATACTCCAGCCTGGGTGAGACTGTCTCAAAAAAAAAAACAAAAAAAAAACAACAACAAACTAAAAAAGGTTATGTGCCCAGCTTCCTGTGCGTGATTTGTCAGGTAAATTTGAGCTCTGGATTTTGCAAGTTACAGTCATTGCATGATGTAATCCTGACTGAGCTTTTTCATCTTTCTTCCTTTAGCCAATATTAGTTTATGGGATTTTTAGATGTGGAGAATGGTCATTTAGTTTGTTTTATTATCTGATAGCTAGGTTCATTCATTCATTCCAATAATTATTTAATGGTAGGTATGCTTCTAGTGTTAAGCTATAGCAGCCTGAAAGAGATTAGATTGCCTCATGGACTTTTGAAAGGTCCAACCTGTTGGATCCCAGTTGTTCATAACATTATGTTTCCTCAATGCCAAAGACCTAAACACACTCAATCCAGCTGGGCGCAGTGGCTCATGCCTGTAATCCCAACACTTTGGGAGGCTGAGACAGGTGGATCACTTGAGGCCAGGAGTTTGAGACCAGCCTGGCCAACATGGTGAAATCCCATCTCTATTAAAAATCCAAAAATTAGCCGGGTGTGGGGGTACATGCCTGTAATTCCAGCTACTCAGGAGGCTGAGGCAGGAGAATTGCTGGAACCTGGGAGGTGTAGGTTGCAGTGAGCCGAGATCGTGCCACTGTACTCTAGCCTGGGTGACAGAGCAAGACTCCGTCTAAAAACAAAACAAAACAAAACAAAAACAGGCATGGTGGTGCATGTCTGTAATCCCAGCTACTCAGGAGGCTAATGAGAATCACTTAAACCTGGGAGGCAGAGGTTGCAGTGAGCCAAGATCATGCCACTGCACTCCAGCCTGGGAGACCAAGCCAGACTGTCAAACAAAAAACCAACCAAACAAAAAAGCACACTAAACTCAAACATACAGAAGAACCACCAAAGAATCGCTGACTTATTGAAGACAGAATTCCGGGGTAAATTGTAAACAGATGGCAACTGGAAACTGCATATTTCCCGTTGCTGAATGGTCCTAAGCTCAGAGAATCCTGATTTTTTTAAAGAATTTCAGAGCTATTCTGTGGTAAGTCACAGGCTTTTTCTGAGAATGAATCAGGCTTTCGTTTCTCGGGCTAATGTTCAGTGGAAACCTTTGAATTTGTCTAATGAGCGAGCATCTATCTGCCCATTAGGGACCTCATTTTCACGAAGAGCAGATTGTGCTGTACACTAAGAAGATGAAGAATCTGAAATTTGGAAAATGGGTATCACTTTCTATGGACCTACATCCCCCTCTTTTTAAAATATTTTTGGGCCAGGTACAGTGGCTCCTGCCTATAATCCTAGCCCTTGGGGAGGGCAAGATGGGAGGATTACTTGAGCCCAGGCATTCAAGACCAGTCCAGGCAACATAATGCAACCCCGTCTTTATTTTAAAAAAAGAAGTTTTCCCCCAGTTTTATTGAGGTATAACTAACAAATAAATTGTATATATTCAAGGTGTACAGTGTGATGATTTTATATACAAATACACTTGAAATTGTGACTACAATCAAGTTAACATACTCATCACCATACATAGTTACTGTTTGTAAATGTGCACGTAAGGGGTGGTAAGGACACTTGAAATTTAGCGAATTTCAAGTATACTATACTTGGTATACATTAGACTCCCAGAATTCATTCATCTGACAAATGAAAGTTTGTATCATTTGATCAGTATCTCTCCATTTTCCTCATCCCACCCTCAACCTCTGACAAACTACCCTTCTCCTCTCTGCTTCTATGAATTCGACTTCTGTAGAATCCTCATACAAGTGAGAGCATACAGTATTGGTCTTTTGTGTCTGCTATTTGACTTAGCACAATGTCCTCAAGCTTCCTCCACATTGTGGCAAATGGCACAATTTCCTTTTTTTTTTTTTTTTTTGGAGAAGGAGTCTTACTGAGTCACCCAGGCTGGAGTGCAGTGGCATGATCTTGGCTCACTGCAACTTCGGTCTCCTGGGTTTAAGCAATTCTCCTGCCCCAGCCTCCCGAGTAGCTGCGGCTACAGGCACGTGCCACCACGTCCAGCTAATCTTTGTATTTTTAGTAGAGACCGGGTTTCACCATGTTGGCCAGGATGGTCTCGATCTCTTGACCTCATGATCCACCTGCCTCGGCCTCCCAAAGT